ATGAACAAGAAGATCTATACGCGACTCTTTAATATTAGAGGTACCTTCATAAGTGCTCTCAAGCGTTGTCCAGATCTCCCAGGCTGTTGCACAGTTCTCCACTTGATCCGCTTCGTCTGGATTCATAGCGGATTGCAAGACATGCATGGCCCTCTGGTTCAGCTGGGCACTCTTCTTCTGTTCTGGTGACCAGAACGATTGCTCCTCGTCCTTCATTTCTACAGGTCCGTTTTGCCCAACCAGCTAGAGATCTTCGTCAATCCCCCACATGAATTGCTTCATCCGTTTCTTCCACGCGGTGTAATTCGATCCGGTGAAAATTGGGGGATGATTTAGAGCAGCATGACCGAAGGAACTAGACGCCATTGGATCGTAGACCTTGGCAGTAGTTAGCTTCGTCAAGGAGCAGCTCTGATACCAATTGTAATCGATATCAAGGAAGAAGAAATTTAGGGTTCTGGGAAAGGATTTTGAGAATCGAGGGGAAGAGGAAAGAACAATACGAAGACAAGGTTGAATCGGAAGAGAATGAGTGGCTAGAGCACTCGTTTGGTCTCTTCTTTAAGACTGGGCTCTAGTAAACCCGGCCCACGATCCAAGCCCGGCTTGTTGTGACTAAAACCAAAAGACAGGCTTTAAGCCCAGTCTCACTTAAGCACCGATTCCAGAAGGAATTGTTTCCAGACAACAAGCAGAGCAGTGAAGCTCAGCAGAACAAGAACAGAGGAAGAACAGAAGATTTGAAGCTCAATTGAAATGCAGAAAAGTAAATGACACACGATCTTTTTAACGTGGTTCGCCCAAGTGCAATGGTTTACTTCCACGTCCCAGAATATGGTCTGGGAGACCTTTATTACTTAAGATTTTTGACAAAAGACTGAGAAAACTAAAGTATGCAATTGCAAAGTAAAATAAACAAGATGAACCGAAGAACCCAGATCAGCCTTGATCTGTTCAGCCTTGACACACTCAGAACCTCTACCTCTGTGAGTGTCAACCCCTTTTGTGTTTCCAAGCTTTAAGCCCTGTTCCGCTAACAAGCTTCAACAAAAGTATATTCTTAGAGAGACCAACAAGATATATATATAGTCAGAGAGCAGCTAGCCGTTGGAATGCAAAGAAGGAAACTGTTCAAATCGGACAGCTGTTTCCTTTGATACTGCTAGAATCAAAAAGAGGCAATCTCCATATTTGCCAAAATCAACACCTTGTACTTCTTTAACTTCAAGAGATCAACCCGAAACTCCCCATCCTCAGTCTCAAGAAGTTTAAATGCCTTCTCATACAACTCAGCTGACTCCAACATTAAATATGTGGAATTCCACCTAGTGGGAACATCCAAACACAACATCTTCTTGCAGTCAATGTGATGAAATCTAGCACATTTCTTAAATTTTTCCAACCTTGCAGGTGAAGCACGAACCCATTTCACAGCCTCCCTAATTCGAATTACAGCCACCCCAATTTCCTCCAATCCGTCACTGACAATGAGATTAACTATATGAGCCACACAACGGATATGCAAATATGCACCATCTTTAACACTGCTACCCCAAGTCATCAATTTATCCTTCAAGCAACCAATTGCCGTATCATTTGCATATGCATTGTCAACTGTGATGGTAAACACATCCTTCAAGCCCCATTCTTCCAAAATGCTCCCAATAGAGTCAGCAATATCAACACCCTTGTGACTAGTAATGCGACGAAACCCAATGATCTTCTTATGTAACTTCCAATCATTACCAACAAAGTGAGCAGTCAAACTCAAATAATTAAAGTTCTGAACAGAAGTCCAACAATCTGTTGTAAGAGACACCCTGCCAGCACACTTGTCATGGAAATAATTCTTCAGTTGCTTCCTCCCATCAACAAACAATCTGAAGCAATCTTCTCTAATGGTCTTTCTACATGGGATCTTGAACATAGGACATGAAGCAAGACAAAATTGTTTAAACCCTGCCCTCTCAACAAATCTAAAGGGCAACTAATCCATGATTATCATTTGAGCTAATGCATACCTCACTTGGCTCATTGGCAAAACCTAAAGACCATGTGTTCATGCTATCCCATCCAAGAAAACAAGAGAGTTTGAAGGGGACTCTTCCTACCAAATCACCTCTCGAGATAAATTATCAACTCTTCTAGATTTGATGTTTAATATACATCATTGCTAAAAAATAGCTTCAAGATAAATATGTGATTTATAGCTTTCAAAATCTAAGAAAAATGAATTTTCATAAAAATGGTCATAAATTACAAAAATACCCTCCGGAAAAAATCCGCATAAATCTGCGATTAATAAATGTCATCATTGGTGGAGAGTAGTCTAAGTCCGAATTCATAATATGTAGCTTTCAAAATTCAAGGAAAATCACCTTTCGAAAAAAAATCCTCCAAAATCTGTGAAGGTACTTTGGAATCTGTCAAAAATGGACCCGGAAAAATTCCGCCAAAATCGGTGTTTAATAGACATAATCATCGCTAGTGAATAGCCTCAGACTGAATCCGTGATATGTAGTTTTCAAAATCTAAGGAAAATGACATTTCAAAAAAAAATGCCCAATAATTACCAAAATGTCCTCTGAAAAAAATCCACCCAAATCGGCAATTAATAGACTTCATTTAAGGGTGGAGAGTAGCCTAAGGCCGAATCCGTGATATTTAGTCTTCAAAATCAAGGCAAATGACCTTTCGAAAAAATCGCCTGAAATCTTTTATGGTACCTCTTTGCAATATGCCAAAAATTCTGCCGAAATCGGTATTTAATAGACTCAATCATCACTAAAGAATAGTCTCGGGTTGAATCCCTTATCTATAGAATTCAAAATCTAACAAAAATGGCATTCGAATAAAAATGCCTGAAAATTATGAAAATACCATTCTGAATTTTTTTGCCCAAATCGGCGATTAATAGATTTCATCATTGGTTGAGAGTAGTCTAAGGCTGACTCCGTGATCTATAGACTTCAATTCTATGATGATACCACTTTGAAATATGCGAAAAATAGCCCCGAAAAAATTATATCCAAATCGGTGTTTAATAGACTTAATCATCGTCAAAGAATAGCCTTAGACTGAATCTGTGATCTGTAGATTTCAAAATTGAAGGAATATGGTCCTTCGAAAAATAGTCAAAATTACAAAAATGTCCTCCATAAAAAACCGCCCAAATCGGCGATTAATAGATTTTGTCGTTGGGTGAGAGGAGCCTAAGTAAAAATCTGTGATATGTAGCATTCAAAATCCAAAAAAAAAAAATGGTATTACGAAAAAGTCGCCCAAGATCTGTGATGGTAGCCATTTGCAATCTGCAAAAAATGACGCCAGAAAAATTCCGGCCAAATCAGTGTTTAATGACTTAATTATCGCTAAAGAATAGCGATATCCTGAATCTGTGATCTATAACCTTCAAATATAAGAAAAATGGTCTATCGAAAAAATTGCCCAAAAATTATTAAAATGGCCTCCTTAAAAATTTTGCCCAAATCGATGTTTAATATACTTAATCAGCGCTAAGGAATAGCAACAGGCTGAATCCATGATCTGCAGCCTTCAAAATATAAGGAAAATGAAATTTCAAAAAAGCGTCCAAAGATTACGAAAATGCCCACCGGAAAACATCCGCCAAAATCGGCGATTAGACTTCATCATCATTGATAGAGAGTAGTCTAAGTCCGAATTCGTGATATGTAGCCTTCAAAATCCAAGGAAAATGACATTTCAAAAAAAATCCTCTGAAATCTGTGATGGTACCCCTTTAGAATATGCCAAAAATGGTGTCGGAAAAATTCTACCCAAATCGGTGTTTAATAGACATAATCTCACTAAGGAATAGTCTCAGACTGAATCCATAATCTATAGACTTCAAAATCTAAGTAAAATAGTCTTCAAAAAAATTGCCCAAAATTACAAAAATGTCCATATAAAATCCGCTCAAATCGGGATTAGTAGACTTCATCATTGGTGGAGAGTAACCTAAGGCCAAATCCTGATATGTAGCCTTCATATTCCAAGGAAAATGGCCCTTCAAAAAACTCGTCCGAAATCTTTATTGGTACCTCTTTGGAATCTACCGAAATGGCCCTAAAAAATTTTCGCCTAAATTGGTGTTTAGTAGATATAATCATCGCTAAAGAATAGTCTCAGACTGAATCTGTGATTTGTAGCTTTCAAAATCGAAGGAAAATGGTCTTTCAAAAAAATCGCCGAAAAATTACAAAAATGTCACCCGTAAAAAATCATCTCAAATAGGCGATAAATAGGACTTCATTATTGGTGGAGAGTAGCCTAATCCTAACTCCGTTAACTATAGCTTTCAAATTCCAAGAAAAATGGCCCTTCGAAAAAAATCGCTCTAAATATGTGATGGTACCCCTTCGGAATCTGACAAAAATGGCACCAAAAAAGTTCCGCCGATCCGGTGTTTAATAGACTTAATCATCGCTAAAGAATAGCAATACCCTATCTGTGATCTGTAGCATTCAAAATCTAAGAAAATCGCATTTCGAAAAAATCACTCAAAATTTACGAGAATGTCCTCCAGAAGAATACGCCCAAATCGGGGATTAATAGACTTCATCATTGGTGGAGAGTAGGCTAAAGCCAAATCGGTGATATGTGTCTTCAAAATCCAAGGAAAATTACCTTTCGAAAAAATCCCCCGAAATTTGTGATGGTACCCCTTTGGAATATACCAAAAATGGCCCCCGAAAAATTTCTCCCAAATCGGTGTTTAATAGACTTAATCATCGCTAAAAAATAGCCTCAGCCTAAATCCGTGATCTATAACCTTCAAAATCTAAGAAAAATGGTCTTTCAAAAAAGCGCTCATAAATTACAAAAATACCCTCTGAAAAAAATCCGTTTAAATCGACGATTAATAGACCTCATCTAATGATTAACCACAACTGCACTGACTTCCACCTATTTGAAACCAAACCATACATTTGTTCATTATTTTCTCCAAGATGCCCCCAGCCGGGTTGGTTGGGTTGGGTAGAGAGTAGAGACCGAGTCGTTAACCATCGGTGATCGGTCCCTACGTGGATATCTAGCCAAGGGTTTGCCGTTTTGCAGTCGACAATAAAGCCATGAGGACAACAGTAGAGAAAGTTGTCAAGTGTAAACCCTAAATCTTGGCTGATAAACCTCTCTCCCTCCCTCGCAACCTCTCTGATCAGCTCCTCCGCCCAGCCGGAAGAAGCAACTTTCGCGATCGTCTTGCGATCTTTCTCCGAGAGCGGGGACGTCGGGAAAATCCTTCCGAGATGGACAAGAATATGCTCGCTGGGCTGGAAGGTATGCCCGAGGAAGACAAGATGCGAATGGCCTCCATGATCGACCAGCTCCAAATCCGCGACAGGTATCCCCCCCTTCAGTTTCCTCCCATTCCGCTTGAGTTTTGAATTCTTAGTGTTGAAATTCAGTCCTAGAGAATGTTGATTGGCCTTTCTGTTGGTTTCGCTCTACTATATCCGATTAAGTACTTGTTCTTGGGGCGAAATTTTGATTTGGTTGAACGATTCTGCTCTCGCTCTCTGGTATTCATAATGATTATTAACAGTTTTATGTTTGCGGGAGTGGGATTTCGTAGCAATTCAGTAGAATGTCCTTTGGACCAGAATGACCTCTAGATTTTTAGATCAGCTTCACATATCAATGTTGTTTGGAGATGTCTCAGAAAGATGCTTCTCTGAATTTCTGGTGACGTTTTCAGTGGTGTGGAGCCAGAGTGATTATGTATGTTCTCCTTTAAAACCAGTGCAGCATCTATGTTGCAATTGGACGTTTTGGGAACAACATTAGCTACTGTGGTTTTACATATTTTTTCTGTTCTTGGCGGGTTCTTTGGTGTAAAATGTGGATGAGAAGATTGCAAAGAAGGTAATCTCTGTTAGGAAACAACCCCATCTAGGAGAAAGGTTCATGTCTATTAGGTTCTGTAAGTCCTTGTTTTTATTGATTTAGCTAAGCTTCACATCTGAGAGATGCTCGGAGATGTCGCAGAGAGATAGTTCTCTGGATTTCTGGTGACATTTTCGGCGGAGTGAAGCCAGAGTGATTGTTTATGTTCTCCTTTAAAAACCAATGCAGCAATCTCTGTTGCAATTGGACGTTTTGGGAACAACATTCAAATCTGTGGTTTACTTATTTTCTATTCTCTCCCGGTTCTTTGTGGTGTAAAATGTAGGTGAGAAGTTGTTAAGAAGGTGGTCTCATTTAAGAATAAATCCGTCTAGGAAAAAAGGGTCCATGTCTATAAGGTGCAGCAAGTCTATGTGCTCTTAATTTTCTTACGCCAGTGGCGTGTTTCTCTTCTCTTCTTAGTCATCTACTGATAAATCACCCCACCAATTTGCTTTTAAGTTCTGTTCTCAACGCCACCAAATTGATGTTTTGCCTCCTGCAGTTTGAAGATGTACAACTCGCTTGTGGAGAGATGCTTTACCGACTGCGTGGATGACTTCACCCGCAAATCTCTCAAGAAGCAGGAGGAAACTTGTGTGACGAGATGTGCCGAGAAGTTCTTGAAGCATTCAATGCGTGTTGGGATGAGATTTGCGGAGCTCAACCAAGGAGCTGCCACTCCGGACAACTGATTTGGTTGCCCATTACCTTTAGTCTGTTTCTCTAGTTCAAATGGATAGATCTCGGTTCTTTCGTTACTGTATCTTTCAAGTTTTCCCAAGTGAGAATCAGAAGAGAGTAGTATGTGAGGTTTATATCCCCATTACATAGCTCTTTCATATACAGTGACAAAATTTCAGTCATAATGTTACCATACTGGTAAAATTTCCTGAATGGGAACATTGGATTAAAATTACTCAGCCAGAAAAGGAAAGCTATAGAACAGAGAAGCTGCTAATTGTGAGATGAGATATTCTGGCATGATAAGATGAGATCAGTATCTTTTTACTTTTTACAGTAATGGTGGATGCATTTTCATAGTCTTCCTGGCAAGGCTGCGAATGTCTTCTCTGGCAGATTCGTTCGATATTCTGACCAGTTCTCTGGACCCTCCACCGGATACAAACTCCTTGACATTCCCTTCTGAAAATTCAATGAAATGTTTAACCATCTGCACTTCTTTTTGTAGTCTTTTTCATGATTCAATTGTGAGTGCAATAGAGTTAAGTTTACCGTTTTGTGCTAAATGACAGAGGGCGAGCTCAACATGGCGTCTCGTAGAAGTCGAATGTGTGCTACAATTAGCGATCAGCCACTCTAAAGCACCTTCATCCATCAGAAGTGAACGCCCTTTCCTGTGCCCTGTAGTTGTAGAAGACAGCGATACCATTCTAGTTCGTCAAACTATGCCCGTTACATATTGGTTCACGCAGATTCTCTAGTAGCCTGTCTGTCAGGAAAATCAGACATACCTTGAAGGGTGGTTCGGGATTCACATTTCGCAAAATTGGCCATTCCTCTGGCGACCTGTGCAACTACGTCGGTGTTTCCACACTTGGCCATCCCTAAGAGTGCCTTTATGCCTCCATCTTTCTTCAACATCAAGTGTAATGACTCTGTGAAACAGAAAGCAGGATGTATCAGAGATGGATGGGATTGATCGAACAAAAATTTCGCTGAAAATAGGATTCAAGGAAGAGAAACGTTCTTTAGTGTGTTATACCATTTCCACATAAGTTGGCAAGGGCACCGGCTACCATTCTGAGGGTCTGTGGGTCGTCTGTTCTAGTTGCTGTCACTGCCAGTAGCTCAGCACCACCTTTGCTCATTATAAATCCTTGATTTAAATCTGCTAGTTTAAAATATGTGTATTATGGATCAAATACGATTTGATCTTTCTCCTAAGAATACTTAACGGAACTGCAAATGACTCTAACTGTAAAGAATACCGTTCATTGCTAAGTTGGCAATGGCCCCAGAAGTCACTCGAAGTATAGTTGTGTTCAGCGAAGATTTCAGCAGCATAAGCAAGGCGTCTAAACCTCCTTCCTCCACAATTTTCTCTTGATTTATGTCTGCACGTGGTGTATAAACAATCTTAGGCTTGTAAGATAGCATTACTGGCAAACTTGAACACATCAGACTTATCAAGTTATAAAGGGCGAAGGTGATCTGATGGGAACAAACACAAAAAAGAGAAGGCCTTGCCTTACCTTCAGATGCAAGATTAGCAACCACTTTCACAGCATGGATTTGAACATCAGGATCATCTGATGCCAATAGCTGCAATATCTTTTGAACCCCAACTGCAATTTTACAGCCGCAATTAGTTAAGAAACATGTACTCCTCAAGAGACAGGAGATGAAAAGTAGAAAAGCTTCTGAAAATGGTTTGTTCATACCTTCCTCGCACATCTTTGCAATAGATGCTCTCTGAACTGAAAGTGTTTCGCGTAGAGGGCCTGACTTGTGTAATCCTGCCGGAAGTTTATTTGCTGAAGAGGGTTTACCAATATTTTCCTTCATGGATGACGTATCCTGCAAGCAATACGACGTTAGGTAAAAGTAAAGAAGCAAGCAGGAAAACGTGAAGACGAGACTTCAAATATTTAGCTATTGACCTCAAAGCAATTTTCAATTTCAGGTCCGCTCTTCTTCAATTTAGCCAGTTCGTTTTCAACATTCTTCCTTTGCTTCTCTTCCATTTCAAGTCTTTGCTTCACTTCCAGAAGTTCTTCATTTAATCTTGCCTTTGGATGCATTGACACAAGGGTTCATTAGATTCAGAGTCTAGCAATTTAAACTCAGACCTCTAAAGAACAAATGAAATGGACTAGTTGCTCAACCATACCTTTCCTTGTAAGACATCTTCATAATCAGACTTCAAGGAGTCAAGCTCAGCTTTAGTGCTCGCATTAAGGTGGGAGACTTCTTCAATCTTTATCCGGGATTCGTCCATATCATCTATATCCTGTATTATACACGAATCAGAACTAACTCTAGACTGCATAAAAGGAATATCCATGAAAACAAATCAAGATTCACATGAATCTAGCACTAAGAAAATCTGTTCTGCGATGCCATTAGGCTTCATTAATGCAGATGAGGCCATTTGATGTCAGAAGCATAACAAAATGACTTCAAAGCCATAAAACTACATCCAAAATCTTATGAGTTGAAAATTTTTAAACCTGCATTACGTTCTGCTGGTCGCTCAGAGGTTTTGCTCCCTTCAAATGAGCCTTCTCGTCATCTTGTTGCTCGATTAGCACCGATATTCTGTTCTCGTACAGTTGTTTAGTTTCTGCAAGTGCTTTCTGGAACGAACAGTTTTCTGCCTCATGTTTCTACTTGCAACAAACAGAATTCAAAAATTAGATCTTTTTCACAACTTCAACATTAAAGGAGTATAAATGGAACATCAATAGAAATTAACAAAATTGATAACAAATCCCCTCAGACCTAATCACAAACCTGAATTGACTTTTTGCAATCAGTTAGGAGCTTTTTAGTCATCTCTAATTGTTTCTCGGCATTGGAAGTATGAGCATGCTCCTCTTCAAGCTCCTTGATTAACTCCTCTACTCTCTTCTCATACATCTGAGTGGTCTCTCCAAGTGCCTTCTGATACGTAGAGCTTTCCATCTCGTGTTGCTGCAAAAAGAATGTACAAGATCAATTAATTAGTTGAGATGACTCTCTACAAGAGATAGTTGCGACAGCAGAAAAACATACATGTGAAGCCAGAACAAAATAAATTGGCAGCAGATAAGCAATAATAATGCATAATTCACAAACCCTTATTGATGTATGACGGTCATTTAGGAGTTCCTTCATCATATTTAGTTCTTCATTGGCACTTTCATGCGAATCATGTTTGTCTTCGAGCTGCTTTTTAGACTCTGCTATTTTCTCCTCGTACAATTGTGTGGTTTCAGCAAGCACTTTTTGATATGTCGAATTTTCAAGCTGAGTAAGAACAAAACAAGGGATCGTGCAATTTTCCAACAAAGCACAAGATATACAAATTCTAATATCAGAGATAGCCTAGTTCCCTCTTTTTGTAATAACATTTTGATACATTAGCATCCATGAATGGAAATCTTTCACCAGTTCAGTCTCCAACCTTATGATAGTATATTAACTATTGCCCCATAAATTAGTTCAAACGGGAATCACAATGGTGGCAATGATGTTGCAGGGAGACCATCAACGATGATCGGGAAACAAAACCATGTGCTACTTGGAAAACGGAAGTACCTGGCTAAGCCTCAACCTCATTTCCAGCTGTGCCACCTTATCACACAGTCCACCATTTTGTGCCTTTTGGTTGTCCAATTCATTCACGATATCCTTTATCTGAACCTCCATATGAGACTTCTCCTTCTCCAAGAACTAGTCAAGCGCAAGATATTGTAAGCATACTATAAGAGCATAACTACCATGGTAAATGCTACAACGGAGAGAGCAAAATTACCTCAGATTTCATTGCAACATTCTTTAAAGAGTCCCGACATTCATTAACCTGCCTTTCACAAGCATACCTTTCGCTAACCCTCAACTTCTTCTCCCTTTCTATTTCCACGGTCAGCTGGTCTACCAGTATCTGAAGCTTCCGGCATTGACGTTCGTAATCAAACTCTTCTTTAAGTTTCACCATATTTACAATTTTCATTGCCTGCAAGTAGAAATGTTTTCAGGTTGCTTATGAAATTTTCTCAAGTGAATTAGCTTTTCATAGCTAAGCCAGATAAGGCTTTGAAATTTTCAGTAAAATTTTCAATTTCAGTTGTATCCCAATGTGACGCCTTCAACAAATATGAAGAACAATAGTGGCATGAAAAATAACATGGAATGTAATTACTGAATCACAACAATCGAACGTTCATGACGCGAGTACAGAAAAAAGCTATCGATTTGATTGTACTTGCAGAATCTTTCACAACTTACCCGTTGTCCAAACATAACTGTGCTACTGGTCTCTGGAAGGTGTCGTGCAGATGGGCCGATTGTTACAATTAGTGAGGTCCTCGCAGAACCTATTTGATTAGGAACACGTCAATTTTAATGAGTATGATAAATCGGCAAAGAAAAAAAGACAAGGACACTGTTGGAAAGAAGGCATGCTAATTTGACCTCCAAAAGAATCACACAGTAATCTAGTCAACTTCGAGTCCCTTGTAGGTATATGCAGACTGTTCTCAGCCAAAGCATTTATACATTTCCCAAGGGAAGTGAGAGAAAGATTAATGAACTTTGCCTCTTCGAGTAAGTGACCTTGACTGCCTGCACAACTAAAAGATAATGATATAAGTTTTTAAGACTAAGAGCAGTACACAACAACAGATGAAATGTATTATATTCTGACAGTCATTCAATGTTCCCATTCTGTTGTAGATTGCCGTTGTCAAGCTTTCATGTACCTGTTTTGTCTATCCTTTCAGAACCGGCAAGATCAACAATTAGCATCTTGCTCTTTCTAACTTTACAAAGGTCATTTCCTCGCGGTAGATTAGGCACCACACCAATTTCATCTTCTGATTTCTGCGGAACAGATCTGCGTACAAAGACCTGAACGAGCAATAAGGTTCACACGAACATTGACCTATCATTACTCATAGAAGCATAGCACTCAAGAATTTGTAACGGTAATTCAAGGGTATCACATTCAATAAAATTAGATAGAACAAAATACTGACCATCAAAATTGCATGACTGCGTGAAGATTCCGTATTTTGTTTAGTGTTAGCTGCATGACGGTTTGCTTCCCCTATTCGCATCAACTCCAAAAACTGATCAAGATCGCGGAGTTTAACCAATGTAGCTCCATGTATAGACAGTTCTCCAGTCTTTGGATCATCGTTGATATGGATATTGACTTTCTCAGGTGCGAGCAAATCTTGTATGGATTCCATGTACAACTGTTGCAATGACAGAAGAACAATGTAGTAATTATCAAGGCTGCGTATTATTTAACACATTAATAATGGTCGACATTATCATATTTGAACAGGAGCGTGTCACCAGAAATCTACTCCATCAATCCATTCTTAAATTAGACTGTATCAAGTTTGAAAGCTGAGCAAATGGATCAGGATGTTAAATGTTGTATCTTGTAGTTCCTTTTTGCTTTTCCTTTTGTTCAAACTTCAAAACCATTCCTTTAAGTTGTGCACCAAATACAATATAATTATGTAATATTATAGGATACAAGTCTTACTACCTGCAAATAAGAGATCTCCACCACATCAGAGCTAGAGCTAGTACCAGATAGTATATCCTCTAAAGATCTAACCATGATGCCCCGCTCAGCTGCGTCATCCTTTCCCATTCTGCCAATGGTATAAGTTTTCCCAGTACCCGTTTGACCGTAAGCCATAACCGTGCCATTGTATCCGCTCAATACACTCTGTATAGTTACACAGAAATTATCAGTATTTGATTAACATCCTATGCCAAGTACAACATTGAGCCTTAAAAAAGACAAGATTGAAGGTTTATCTTCAGTGAGGCATGAAACATTTACAGATCACAAATATATACCATCTATGAAGCAAATACTAAGCCGTCTTCCTACAATATGATAATAAAGTATCATTGAATCACCTCGGAGCCTAGTCTGTAACATACATTGCATAATGCTTAGCTTCAATAGTTTGCTCCTTGGTACTCACCTCAACAACAGGCTTTGCAACAGCTTCATATACACGCCTTTGAGAGGCTGTTTCTGTGAAAACATCATCGAATTTGTACGACTCAGCACTCCAATTGTTTTTCCTTAACATTAACCTCTTCAGCTGCACGAACGCCACAATGACAAATCGATTATCATCAACCCAGATGATCAATCCAAAGAAGCCTCTAGCACTAGCAGAAGCAATGGCACAGGAATTTACAGAAAATGGATGCAGGTTTTTAGTTTATTAGCAAACAAAAACCCTGCATGCCAAGTAAGATTGGCACAACCAACGCAAAATCAAACCTAGAACTGAAACCTTTCAGATCATCATCTGCAAAGCAATGGCGACAAATTGCCGCACTCGACTTCGTACGTACCTCTGGTTGGAGTTCAACACAATCAGCAAAATCGGCATCTGAAATGACCTCCTCTGCACTTCTGGGCCGCACTCTAACCGCAAGTCTAACTCTCCCAGATTCTACAAACAAAAACTAGAAGAATAAGATTCCAAATTCCGCCCTTCGTTTCCCCAGTCCTTGATCCTAAATCGAGATTCCAAAATTGAGGGAAACAGAACAATAGAGAGGGAGGGAGATTAGACCATTGTCTTTGTTGTGGTGAGAAGACGACGAGGAAGGCGAAGGCGAGCGCTGAGAATGGGAAGTAGTCGGAGTGACGGAGCGGCGGGTGCCGGTGGCAGCGCCGGAAGGAGCCTTATTCCTGACAGTGACAGACGAACCATTGCTCTGCTGGTGTTGCTGCTGTTTTTGAGAAGCTCCATTCCCGTTTCCGTTTCTAGCAGAAGAATAGGAAGAAGAGGAGGAGGAGGAAGGAGAAGCAGCAGGGGAAGAAGAAATGGTAGACGAAGAAGCAGAAAATGAAGGATGGGAAGAAGGACTCTGTAAGTGTCTGACAGAAGCTCTGACAGTCGCATTGGCAGCCATATCTCTATTATTTTTCCTGCCGAAATCAGTCAGGACGCCATTGTTATTACTGTTGCAGAGAAAGGAGGGAGGGAGAGGGAATTGCAGGAGAGAAACGGAAACTTCGAATTCAATTATATTTTCTTTTTTATTTTTATTTTCCTGTTGTGTCAGAAGTCAGAACTCTATTTTCTTCCGTAGCCAAAAATATTAGTGGGCGAGAGGGAAGGGTTGGCCGGTTGGGTTACAGGCCGGCACGAAGAGAGGAGAAATGTATTTTAATTCATTTCTTTTTAACCTTTTTACTCACGGATTATTAAATTTGATTATTATTGATGGGTTTAAAACCAAAAAATGTAAATTATCACAATTTTGGTGGGCTAATCAAGACAAAGAGAAGGGCATACATTGGCTATCTTGGCCCGAAGTGTGTCACAGTAAGTTTGAAGGTGGGTTAGGTTTTCGGGACTTTGATCGTTTTAACATTGCACTTTTGGCAAAACAGGCATGGCGATTACTCCAAATGTCAGACTCTCCAATTGCAGTCCTATACAAGGCCCGGTACCATCCTTCTACATCCATACTCACAGCTGAAGTCGGCTCTCGTGCTTCTTGGGCGTGGCAAGGCATACTTGAGGGGCGAGATTTATTGGCTCGTGGTCTCCGATGACGCATTGGTAATGGTGCTGCCGTGCGCATCCTCACCGATAAGTGGCTGCCCTCTTCCCCTCCTTCATCACCTTCTCTGCTTCCTAATGCTTCCATGTCATACACTTTTGTTTCAGAATTAATTTGCCCCCAATCCCACTCTTGGAAAGTGGCTGTCTTGCAGGATCTATTCACAGTGGAGTCAGTAGAGCTGATCTTATCTATTCCTTTGCCTAACCAGCTTATTCCGGATAAATTGGTGTGGCATTATTCTGTTTCAGGGGAATACACGGTTAAGACGGGGTACCAACTCCTATCCTCGGAGCTAAACAGGACCCATCCGCCTCGCGACTTACCATATGATAAACGATTCTGGAAGTTCCTGTGGCAGCTGCCGGTTCCACCGAAATTGAGGGTCTTCTGCTGGAGGGTGGAGCGGGGATTTCTACCAGTTCGTGCGGTGCTTCACTACAAGCGGCTGGTTGATGATAATGTTTGTCCAATTTGCTCTAATGGGATTGAAAGCATCCTTCATTCGTTCCTACATTGTCGTGTAGCTGTGGAGCTATGGGAACTTGCTGGCTTTGGCCTCCTTCGTGGCAGGTTATCTTCTCTTTCCTATTCGGATTGTTGGAAGACTCTTTTCTTTGAATGCCGTCTTTCTAAGACTGATGTCGCTAATGTTGTTTTCTTATGCTGGCGAGTTTGGAAATCGAGGTGTTGGGCGATACACAAATTTATTCAATATAGAGGACCAACATTACTGTGTCAATTCCAAGCACAAGTGGAGGAATGGCGGGCTGCGACATCTCCGCTTACGCTGCACCAGGGCCCGCGGGGTCAAGGGCGACAAGTACCGGCCTTGCGATCTGGACGGGATGGTGTGTGTCCTGACGGGGGAGTTCTAGTGCGTTTTGATGGGGCTTGGCGGCAAGGATCAGGGGGTTGAATTGGTTTTGCTGGTTTCTCAGCTAATGGAAGCCTCATGTTTGCTCTAGGGAAACATTACACAGGTATTGATGACCCTTTTACCATGGAACTGTTGGCATTGCGTGACGCAATAAGCTGGTGTCTAATGCATGGTTTTCCTGTGGTGAATTTTTGCGGGGACTGCCAAATGGGGATTAGATACCGTCACTTCCCCTAGAAGGGAAGTGATTTTCGCTTCCCTCTTCCCATCCCTAGATCCCCCTTCTCCCTTCCCATATCTTCATCTGGCGGCTGATATTCATCAGAGGCAAAAAGGGAGGTGCCGCACTGGATCAGCTCCCTACCCAAGCCACGTTTGCTGAGACGGAATCTTCGGGATTGAAAGGGAAAGATTTTTCGGAGACCATTCGGCCACCTTCCCCGCGGAGAAATCCTTCGCCTGGAAATCCTCCCTCTTCCCTCCTTCTCATCACGAAACCAAAAAAAAAAAAAAAACAAGCCATCGTCGCCGATTTCCATTGTTGTCGCCTCTCGCCTGTATCATCTCGCGACCTACCTCTGCTGGATTCAAAGGCTTGTTCTTTGAGAGTAGATGTAAGTCCACTCCTTTGTTTGCTTCTATCTGATACATATCGTTTGGAATTCCGTTCGGTTGAATTTCCATTGACAGGTTTAAACTGGTCGTTCCCCAGTGGCCTTCCACGCTAGAATCCACAAGACCTAAAAGTGCTCGCTTGTTCTTTCAGTGATTCGCTTGACTAACTACCGATGTCGACCCTTGCTACGACGTTTGAATAGAGAACATGTGAGATTCTTCGTCCCTGAAGTTTTTGGTTTCCGATCCGCACGTTGGAATAGAAGATGCAAACCTTCGGTTCTTGTGTATCCTGTTTGTTTGTGTATATTCAGTGGTACTTGGAATTGGTATCGATGTGCTAGTGGTAGTTAGAATTGATTGTTTTATTGCCAGTGGTAGTGGTATCAGTACCAAAACTGGTTCTTGTACCAGTACACCAACTGATTTGTGTACCAGTACCAATAGTTGTACATGAACAAGTATCACTAGTGATCGTTGTACCACTACCATTAGCGAAGGAGGTACCAGTACCACTAGTGATACTGGTTCATCTTGAAGAGAGATACAAGTACCACTAGTAATATTGTTATATCTTGGAGAGATACCGGTACCACTACGCACTACCACCGTTACTGTATCACAGGCTTTATATGGAGTTGGAATTGTAAGTTTTAATCAACATGTCTGACAAATGTATTTGTGTTATTTTGCTATCAGGAATGGCGAGAACAAAGGTTCCATACTATAATTGATGACCCAAGTAATATGATGGTGGAGGAGGTGATGGGTAGAGCTTTGTGGATGAAGGAGGGTTTACTCCATGGATATACCCAACAAACCCAGCAGTAGTTTGTTTCCACATCTGAGTAGTATGCGTTTGGTTCATGTTCATTATGGAGTAAGAACAAAGTTTTAGACGTTGTGAAACTAGTAGTGGTATGCCTTTTAGTTCCATTTTCATTCCAAATTTGAAGTTGAACCAGATGTGTAGTTGAAAAATAGGATTGTTGTTGAATAAGTTAATATGGTGTTGTGTTACAAGAGTAGTTGACTTGTTTTTCTAATCACAAAGTGACCAGTAGTGGTACAAGTACTAATAGTGGTACAAGTAATAGTTGTGGTATTGGTATCAAAAGCCTCTACTGGTTCTTAGTACCAGTACGACTAATGATTATTGTACCAGTAACAATAGTGGTTCATGTACAAGTACCACTACCGATTATTGTATCCGTACAGGTAATTAGTAAAGGTAGGGATCAGAGACCACAAGTTGGGGATCGGAAACCACTCTTGGCAAATTTCCCCAATAGTTGTATATGTGCCAGTAACTATTACTAGTAGATATTATTACTAGTAGGAATCAATAATAGTGGTACAAGTAAGTAGCACTAGTTCACTACAAAACTCTACGGGTAAGAAAATCTCATTAGAATAATGAAACATCTGTCACAATTGACAATTTAAACTGTATCCTGTCCCAAATACCACTACAAGTCTACCAGTACAAAACTATCACTACACTTGTAGTGGTACAAAACTACTACTACATGCGTACCAACACAATCGTACCAGTACAAAACTGTTGGGGCACAGCGGAAATATGGTGAGATGGATCGAAAATAGAGGAAATTCTTTCACTCTAATATCTCACACAACTAGGCAATTGTTGCCTTTTACATTAGAGCTGCTGCTCTTAATTGTTCTACTTCTACCCTCACAAACACTGCCCACATTTTCCCATAACGGATTAGGCAAGTTTGTTGCCTTAACCCTTGAGAGGAGCCTATGCTCTCTAGCTCACTCTACCTTCAACACACATACACTTCTCTATTTATACTTGTCTACCACCACCATTTGGAAAGCTGGAATGCTCCAGATACATCAATTATATGGGTGGTAGGTTTTATATGTGGCTGTTCTTAGTCCATGCTAGAGTGGGGTAGAGTAGGATATATATATTTTTTGGTTATGGTAGTTGGCTGATCTAGAGACTTTTGTCTTTTTCCATTTCCTTAGCCTTGTAGGATTTCACGATTATGCTAGAGAATTCCTCTACCTATTTTCCACTTGCAACTTGCATCCTTGTGGGCTCCTTCCAGAATTGCAGATTAACTTTGACACCCCCTCTTAATCTGCAATTCGTAGTTGTGTCTTGAACTTCCGACTTCGTCATGAAGTATGCTTGATTTCTTCACCTTGAGTGAATTTTGCTTCTTGATCTTCTTGCTTCTGCTTCCTGCATTTGAACCTGCAAAATTTTGTTGCACGTCCCGTCTTTTGACATATAATGCAGTTGAGTTGCTGTTGTTGTTGTTGCTGCCGTTGGATTTTCCTCTACGGCCTTGCTCCATTCTGGTAGCCTTGTTCAATTATGGCTGTTTTGCTTTCAGCCATGCTTCTGACATTTTGTCAGAGTCTTCCTCCACCACGAACATTGTGTTCGCCTGGACTGCTGCCAGAATTTGGGGAATTTTTTTTTTTATGGGTAGGATATATGGGACTGGTTTAGGAGGATAGGATAGCAGTATCAGCTCTGATACCAAATTTGTTGGGGCACAGCGGAAATATGGTGAGATGGATCGAAAATAGAGGAAATTCTTTCACTCTAATATCTCACACAACTAGGCAATTGTTGCCTTTTACATTAGAGCTGCTGCTCTTAATTGTTCTACTTCTACCCTCACAAACACTGCCCACATTTTCCCATAACGGATTAGGCAAGTTTGTTGCCTTAACCCTTGAGAGGAGCCTATGCTCTCTAGCTCACTCTACCTTCAACACACATACACTTCTCTATTTATACTTGTCTACCACCACCATTTGGAAAGCTGGAATGCTCCAGATACATCAATTATATGGGTGGTAGGTTTTATATGTGGCTGTTCTTAGTCCATGCTAGAGTGGGGTAGAGTAGGATATATATATTTTTTGGTTATGGTAGTTGGCTGATCTAGAGACTTTTGTCTTTTTCCATTTCCTTAGCCTTGTAGGATTTCACGATTATGCTAGAGAATTCCTCTCCCTATTTTCCACTTGCAACTTGCATCCTTGTGGGCTCCTTCCAGAATTGCAGATTAACTTTGACAAAAACTACCACTACAAGTGTACCAGTACAAAGCTACCACTACCAATACTAACATAATAGCACAAGCATACTACTGGTACCGTTCTCTCTTTCCATCAGTGTACAACCTAATACCAGTACAACGAAATCACACTAGTTAACCCTACCGAGATTATTGCCTCCGGCGGCATTTCTCATGTCGTGTTGTTGTCGTCGCGATGAAGCCAAATAAACCAGTCCCGTCGAATCCCTCCCAAATCTTTGTCGCCGTTCATTACGTCGGCGTCAACGAGAAGTTGCTCCGACGTTGCTTCCAGTCTGTTGGGCTACCTACGTTGCCTCTGCTGAAAGATGAAGAATCTGAAAATGGTAGGGGTTATGGTTAGTGCTAATCCAATCCCACAAATCACGCATACCAATATTCCCCATGCATTTACTATATTTTCTTAATTCCGTCAATTCAGCATTGAAATTATATTTATTGTTACTTTTTCTTTCCTTTTTATTTTAAAGGTTACTCAAGACTTCCCAAAACACCCTTTTTGTGTTGATAGCCGTCGGATTTGGAAAGGAGATGGACGACTCTAATGTGGGAAGTGAAACTCACAACCCCTAAGGGGGTTGTGACCAGATCCTGCCCCCTGCCAAATGTTGATCCGGGCCGTACGGGAGAGAGATGTTGCACACGGACGGGGTGGTGCAATTATGGAGGAGATTCGGGTGGCTGTGTCTTCCTTTTCGGTTTTTTCTTGTACTTTTACTCCTCGCAGGTACAACAGGACTTCCCACCTAGTGGCACAAAAGGCCCTTTCATCGCCAGTTCTACTACTTGTCGACTGGCGCGTTTGGTTGTGTACAGTTCTCTGACTATCTTATTAAGCTATCTATGCCAAAAAAAAAGAAGTAAATTGATAGGATATTTTGTAGTTAAATTATGGTTTAATTGTAGTCTAGATGTTTGGTACGAAATACGAATAAAATTGTCAGTTGATTTCAGCATGTTAGACGTTTTTCTGACCGAAGCGTTATTATGGTTTAAACGTGGTTGGACCGACGGTTAATTTGCTGGGTGCGTCCGAGGGGGCCGGGGCGTCGTTCCCAAAGCAAATTCCCTCTGCATTCGCCCGTTTGGCTTTTTCCTCATTGCTACCCTTACTTTTTATTTGTTATGAAAGCTACTTCTCCTTTTTTCCAGACTGAAAGCTACTACTCTAAATTACAAAAAAGTGCCTTCAGGTTTTACAGGAGAGGAGAATTTGGAAAACCACACCCTGAGTAGGGCCGGAAGTTTAGTACTAGTATTTGAGATATACCGAATACCATATCGAATTTGTCTATATTTAGTATTACCGAATACACGTATTATTTTTTGGGATTGGAATTGAATTTCAATTGTTATTCGGTATTAGGGATTACGGGACCGGTATATACCGAAATACCGATCAATACAGAAATATAAGATAGTGTGTATTTTATCCTCTCAACTAGACTCTCTCATTCACTACTACACGACCCTCAGCCACCAAGAGTGTCATTTAATTATACATATATCATTTCATCACTATTAATAGTCGTCTCTCAACCTCCAATTCATCAAATTAACGATTACCAATGATAAGAACTTGAGATGTCTCCTCTCCTATATTCTCCTTAACAATATCCTAATTCAAGACTCTTTGCTTAGTCTTTTCCTCCTAAATTAAACAATAAAATCTAATTTATATATTTAATTATTAATTGCAAAGGTAATTAATTTTGTATTCGATAATACCGATTGGGATACCGAAGTACCGATTGGGATACCGAAATATTTAGGGATTGGGATACCGAAATTATTTAGGGATTGGGATTGGGATTGACTTTATGGTGTAATTCGGTATTCGGGATTTCAGTATTTGGTATTGAGATACCGATACCGTACCGATTTCCACCCCTACCCCTGAGAACTGGATTGGTGGATTGGGGGCTTGGGTCCGATGGGTGATCGACCTATTGACGCATTTGGTAGGATAACGATCCACGGAAATTGTGATAGTTGTTCGTGGTACAGATCGTATGATTTTACACTACGTATTAATTCACAGAGGTGGAATTATATTAGATTTATATAGTATCAGAATAATTAGATTGGTTCATATATAAATGTCAAAAGGGTTGGGCCATCCCATTAGGACAAGAACCAACCGAAGGAACAAACTATAGAATTGACGTCAAACCAAACCAAAGTAGCAAACAAACTCAAAAGAGTGATCATTACAGGCAACTCACCCTTTGTTTATTTGATGTTTACCCTTTACCGTTGTTTGTCTTCTTCTTCTCATGGCCATTTGCTGCGAGCTTAGATATGTTTGCTCGGTAAAGAGCGTGATAAAGACAGAAACAACCTCATGAATGATGCTTGGTAAAGCAGACAAAACAAAATGACGGGAATGATTTGTCTCCACAAGGAAAAAGGTCTTTGCAGTTTCTTGGACATGTCTCAATAAGTGAAGATGGTATCTGTTAAAATCCAGAACATCAGTTTTCATTATTGTTGTTCTTGTTTCATTCAGAAACAAACGGCAGATGCAGACAGATGGCATGTGCAGAGTGAAGTCCCACAGCTAGTACATACATAAACTGATAAACAGCTCAGCCATTTCCTCCATTCCACATGCAAGCAAAGGTAAGGCTACTACTTACTACATTTCAGCGTACAGTACCTGTCCCTTTCTGTCCTCTCCCGTCTTCTTCAACCTCGACAACGGGCAAACTGTATCGTCGGTCAGGTAGCAGCAATAGCAGATTCTCCCAAGCTTGAAGATGGAGTAGCTGAATTGCAGATTTGGGTTTGGGTTCAGAAGGGTCGAAGCTTATGTTAAATTCCAAAGAAGGAGGAGACGAAGAAGAGGAGCAGGAAGGAGATGTGAGTGGGCTCGCGGGAAGGTCTGAGAAAACAGAAAAGTGAACGCACAAGGAGAATGCTTTGAGAAGAAGACGGGGAGTGAAGTGAGAACGCCATTTTTGCGCTCTTGGAGCAGAGGAGAAAGGCGGGTGCGGGTTTTAGTTCGATCTTTGAATCTGGGCCAAAAGGCCCAATTTAGAAGGTAATAATAATTAGGTGCAAAGGCCCGTCTCTTTTCTTTTATCCAACTGGGAACAAAGGCCAGTTGCAAAGGCCCAAATTATGCTTCTGCCATTTACTGGTCACTTTATTTTGAAACAAAACCAATTTCCCCACCGGGTACATTCATATTCCCCCTGTACCACAACAGAAATTTTCTTTCTAATCAACTGTGGTTAACTATAAGCAAGTCTGCCAAATCTCATTTCATCTACTGAACCAAAACACCAGCCGGTAGTAAAAACTTCCGGGGCAGAGGCAGAGACCATGTATCAAGTAATGTATCGCGGAAGCAAGAACTTGAGCTCAATGAATGCCTTCGACCTAGCAAGATAAAAGAGAGCGATTGAAGCTTGAATAAGCAACCGGAGATAGTTACAAGTTGAGGAGAGGAGAGGATAGAGCAATTGTGTACATACTACATATTACTGATGCTTGCCGTCATGGAACTGAGCGTTTTTCGAGGACTTGAAGGTTTCCAGGAACCGCTTGGCATCTTCCAACTCTTGCTTCTGCTTTTTACTGTCCCACTTGTGCTCGGAGGCCAGGATCTCAATGACTCGTGGCAATGCACGGTGTGCTGCATCGGTGTCTAGGAAGGCAAGCCGCGACCTCCTGGCAATGAAGTCGACTGCAGATTCGCAGTACTCATTGCGTGCACAATACGCTACTTCGGCTTCCAGGAAGGGGTACCCATGGGCAAGCCGCTTCCCCAGGCCTTCATTCTTGACAATGAAAAGAAAAACAAGCAGACTAGACGGGTCAATCAATGCGACTGGACAATAGTAAATGGCAATGATGAATTTCTATAGCATTCATCAAATTCTTGGGATGGGTCTCAAAAAGCAACATGAGCTAATATAGCATTTACATGCAGGAAACAAATGCACCAAATGCCATATAGTACCTGTGCTATAGCAGCCACACGCTCACCCAGAGTACCATATGCATGAGACAAATGTTTTGCTGCAGCAGTATCCATCACACCAGGGACAACTTTATTGCCATATGACTTCTTCATACGCATGTACTGTTGTGCAAGAACGGTAAAATACGAGGGCTCCCAGCCGTTGGCACCTGTCAGTCTTAGACGATGGGTCAAAGATCCACTTTCAGGATTCAGCTTCCCGGACTTCACAGCTGCATCAACAGCATCCTCTGCCATACTGAAAAGAAATCCAGTGAGCAAAGGAGACAGAGAAATCATGCATTTCATAAAAGTGGAGACAGAGAGCAAGAAAAAACCAGAGAACCAAGTGAATAGGTCTGCACCATTACCTTCTATAGGTGGTCCATTTGCCACCAGTGATAGTGACCAGACCAGGAAAATCCTCACAGACAACATGATCTCTAGAAATGCTCTCAGTATTCTTTGCAGAAGGATCTGTAGCCAACGGACGAATCCCACTCCAAGCTGAAAGAACATCTGTGCGCCGCACCTATATATTTATCAATAGTTGCTTCACATCAATTTGATCCAAACAAAAAAAAAACAGTTGCTTCACATTAAAAAAAAAAATTGCTTAGTGAGATAGAGGAGAATTGTGTAGTTTGTATAGTCTTTTAGCTGTGGTTTCTGTATCCTAGCAGCAGTGTATTGCTCTCCTGTTCGCACTTGTTAGACTAATCAGTTGGGAGGGTACACCTAGTTTTACATGCTGTAACTTGAAAGTTCTGAGTGATATGCTCGCCCTTCTTTGATGAACAAAATTGGTTATTCATTGAAAAAAAGTTGCTTCACCAAAAAAGGATAGAGATGCACCACATCCCACAAAGAGGAAAGAGATACAACATTCCACAAGTCCTCCACAAAGAATCGAGCTCTAGCTTAGCAGTTCAGATCAATCATTAAAATCTAGCTACTCCTCAAGTGTGCATATAATAGACATGAAATCATGATTTCACTAAACCAGGACTCTGGATTTTGAAATTTGACTCTCACCTATTGGTTGAATCTTCATATAGCAAAAGTTCAAAGGATCAGTACATTTCCTATTTCCACATCATAGATCAAAATTTTGGAAGGAATATAAATGGAATAGCAAGCTGGTATTTTCTAGCCGCCTCGGTTTTAGCTGACTGGGGTTCGATTCCAATAGACCACATTTAAGTTGCTAGAAAATAGAGCCGATCAGCACAACTACGTACCTTAACAACTAAATAGTCTGAAATAGCATCAAGTATAAACTGAATCTCATCTTCATGTGGCTCTGGGAGAGGAGTAATAGACGTATTAGAATCTGTCGTCCCGGCAATTGTTCTCCCCAACCACGGCAACATAAAGACAACACGTCCATCCTTTGTTTTCGGAACAATCAGTCCCATTCCTTCTGGTGAATAATAGTCAGGTAGAACAATATGTACACCACTGCTAGGGCAGATCATGGGTTGTACATCATCCTTCACCATTTTCCTCACAGAGTCACAAAATGGGCCAGCAGCATTCACAACAACTTTTGCATAGGCATCAAACTCTTTGCCTGACAAAGGTACGACCATAATTAGCTGAGTGACGCATTTACTTGAGGTGTGGTAAACAGAGTATGGGAAACAGAACAGAAACATCCATACCATTTTTTCAGTTATTGCTATTTTAACAGTCAGAGGGAACAACTATACAACGCAACATCCATACCATTTTTTCAGTTATTGCTATTTTAATAGTCAGAGGGAACAACTATACAACGCATCAACATTTATTCAAGCAATCCCATATGGATGTCACAAATTAACAATGACGGAAGGGGTCATAAATCATCATTGGTAGAATAAATACAGGAAGAAAAAAATTACAAGCTTAATAAACTTCTGTTGTCCAAGGTCCTTGCTATATGACTCCAATAGACTAACTGGTAGAAGGTTGAAAAACAAAGGCCTCGCAGTTAAAATCAACTGATCAGTGCCATTGTATAAGACTCAGTGAGAGTGAAGAATGGGTTGATACATGTAGTCAAGCTTTCAAGAGGGTGTGAAGTCCTTCCATAGCATATAAATATAATCTATACCAAAGTCCAACTAAAGGGAAATGAAAAACGGTAAAACTATCTGCTCCATGTGGATAATCCACAACATAGAAGTAAGAGGCTAACCTCAGATATGCATATCATCACAATAACTTCTTGAGAGGGTGAGAACTACTCTGACACAGTACCAGAGTTAAGTAGACAACTACAGGTTCAACTAGCATACCTGATAGGTTGTCCCTAACACGAGCACCAATTACCCTCCCACTAGCCTCATCTTTCAGAAACGATACAACTTCAGCATGATTCAGCACTGCAGCACCAGCTAATGCAGCAGTACATGCCAAAGCAACATTAAGCCGAGAGTCATTCATCTGCCCATCATAATACACCACTGTTCCCCTTAAGCTTCTATCTTTGCCATTCTTTGCAAGAGTTGGAAACAATTCAACAGACTCTTGTGTAGAATAATATCTGGAAAGGTGCAACAAGCGTGCTCCAGCGACCAAATCGTACATTTTCAGCCCCGCCCAATAGTATACTACTTCAAACCAATCGAAGCAAGGTGTCATGCATGGCAAAGCATGGCAGAGATGTGGTGCATTGTCAATAACCTGTTTCCTTTCCTCAAGTGCATGGAACACTAGCTTCAACTGCCCATAATCGAGATTAAAGACTGCCTTTTCCAGGTAGCGAACTCCTAGTAGAAGTAAGGAACACCAAAAGTAAAATTATTAGACAAATAGTAATAGAAAACCCCCATCAATCATCGCGGTCATTTTTCCTAAGAACTAACTTGGTGACCTGGCTTAACATTGAGACAAGTGAAAAAAACAGAAAACCCTATTTGTTGCCCTGTTACCATCAAACCTGCTTTGATTTTGTCATCAACTGAACAGCTGTGGAGCATTTCCATGATTCTACCCAATCCTACAAGCATTCGCTACTCTAGATGAAGCAACATCACTTGATCGTCATGGATTTCTTGACACTGTACCACAATAAACAAACAACCACAATGCCAAACCAACCTGGAATCATAAGCGCCTGATCAGCCCTCACTAATTTCTTTCCTCTCATTATAAATGCCTGTTCTGCCAATTCAGTCAAAATGTATTTGGTCAAAGGCCATGGCTCCATCTTGTGGTCCGGTCAAATCTTGATGGCGTCACTCGGAGATCGTCAAGCATATCATTATGATCCATGAAACTAATAGAAGGATGAACTCGAACCGAAATCTAATTTCGCCGAAGTTTCTCATCGGAGGAATAAAAGAAATGAAAAGAACTAAGGTCAATTGCACTGCAAAGGCCGGCTAATCCAAGCAATTCACTATCGCTGTCAACCGAACACTATCCTGCTTGTCTCTATGTGCTATTAGAGAGAAAGAGAAAGAGAAAGGAGACTTGCCTCCATGGATTAGCTTGGTGGACCTGGAAGACGTGCCGGAAGCGAAATCCTCTCTCTCAACGAGGCCGACGCGGAGGCCTCTCGTGACTGCATCGAGCGCGACTCCGCAACCAGTGGCGCCGCCGCCGACGACCAGAATGTCGAGAGGATTGGAGGCGGTGGAGCCGATCAGAGCCGACTCCTGCGCGGCACGGGAAGGAACGGAGACCCCGGGATCGTGGATTTTCAGCTTCAAGGAGTCGAGAGCCGGACCGCCGCCCCGGTCGCTGGAGGCAAGGTTAGGGGAGAGGAGCAAATAGCCGCCGGAGGCAACCACGGCGGAGACGGCTGGGGCGCCGAGGCGCCAGAAGCGTCGGGCGGAGGACATGGCCCGCAAGACGACGGGACGACGGTGGTGGTGGGGATGGAATCTGTTTGTTTTTTTGCTCTGATTTATTTATGGGAATTCGAGCAGAAGGTGCTTTGGGAAACGTTCATGGGGATTGCCTGAATTTTTACTCGACTTTCTTTCTTTCCTTTTTGTGTTTCTTTCTTTTCCTTTTTTTTTTATAAGTTTTTTCTTTTCCTTTCTGTTGCAATTGTGGTCTATATTCATTTCATTTTTATCCCAATATGAGAAATTTGGTAAATGGCTCATTGGCTTAATGTCTAATATAATCACTCTATTTAATGTTTATGTTTTAAAACCACTTTATTTAATCATATTGGACATATTAGACATTTATTTTCAACGGATGACAGTTTAGAACACGAAACACAATACATAATATTTAATCACGGAATATATTCAGAATATTTCGTCAAGTTTGACTTTCAACTTATATTTTTTTACAACAATACAACATAGACGTAGGCATGGACTTTTGTCTTTGTCACATGACATAAGTAAGTTCTTGTAAATAACAAAATGTCTCTATGTAGATTATCCAAGGGATTCAATTCACCATTTTGAGGTGGTATATGAATATTTTGTTATTGTGTTTTCCGACAAGAAAACTTGTGTTGAAATGAAAATGAGCGCATCTTGACTTCTTGAATAACGATTAAAATAAGCATAGTTCACACATTTGTCATTATGAGAAGTAACTGTCTTGAGAAACTGCTCAGCTGACGTGGAGTGACAGTTACACTCTTAACTATCCTAACAACCCTGACGTCGGATGTGCCACCATCTCCAGTCTTGACCCCCTACACTTGGTAGTTTAGTAGCTTTTTGCCGGATGAGAAAAAATGGTTAAGGCATGAAGACACCCTAGTAATGTGTGGGTAGGTATTCGAATCATATGGTGCGAAAATGGTAAAAATAATTTATAACTTATGATCATGAGAGCCCCAGAGGTTACCCTATTGCCACTTGATGTCATCCCCTTTTGTCATCTCACTAAGGAGATACTTGAGTTACACATTATCACCCTCCTCTCCTACATACTTAGGCAATTTTCACCCCACCTCGGAGGGGGTATTGCTGATCACCCCCTCATCACACCAGGAGGGGGTACTCCATCGTCGAATCACCCACCTAGTCATACCAAGGTGGATTCTCATACTTAGTTATATTTAACCTCACCTTATTGCACCAGAGGGGATATACTGATTACCCCCTCATAATCACACCAAGAGGGGGGGGTTGCTCTGGACTTAACAAAATTTCACCAAATTTCATCCACTAGAGGGGTATGATGAATCCCCCCTAGTCACATTAGGGAGCCTCCTCTCCATACTCCACTTTGCCATCTTAGCCAAATTTGGCAAACCATGGTGGTACTACTCTCTCCAGATTAAGCCAAATTTCACTCCAGCTCATCACGCTAAGGGGTATACTAACGACCCCCCATCATGCTAGGGGGCCTAAAAGGTATGTTGATTACCCCCATAATCACATTATGAGAGGTACTCCACCACTTAGCCAAATTTTGGAGTGATGGTGCAGGGGTGAATGGCCTTTGGGTGCCATGGGTCCAAAACTCCAATCCATGTGGCTCATCTCAATTGATTTTAATTAAGTTGACCTTATAATGTCATTTAATTTCTTGTATTAAACTAATGTGGTACATGTTTAAATTTTGATGTAAACACATTGTACAATAGTATTTATTTATGTGAATGAGGGCTAGCTCAGTTGGTGATTCGACACTCGCAAGGCCGTGTGTTTAAACCCTAGTATCAACATTGATCTCTTCAGTAGCATTCCCGGGAGTGGAGGTGTATCTTAGTCGTGAGGTGGTTGGTTGAGTTGTAACACACATGGTCGTACTCCCAATGGTTGAGTTGCAACATGCACAACGTGGTGGTAGTTCCCTCGCACTCAAGGTGGTCATGAGTGTAGTTCATAGTGCATCCAGCCTCCCCTGATCTTAAACCAACACTATAGTCAGTTGCCCGGATTTTGGCCTGCCTATGGTGTAACCAAAGTGACGACTGCTGGCAAGAGTTCTCAATCATAAAAATATAAATATGTTTACATTATGAAAGAGGAAGTCTTAGCTCTACCACTACTTGACAATATGGTCTAATCAAACAAAATAACAAAATTTTGCTTTTGTAACAGTGTTGAAATGGGATTTTTTTTATATATTTAACACTTTGATACCAACTATAATGTGTTGGCTTCTTTTAAGAAGTTATTTTTAAATATTTTGTGAAGTATAAAAACATTTACAATCTGGTCGAATTTTATCATTTTTTTCAAATTCGTAAGCGTAAAAAGAACTAACAACATATTAAAGATGGACTTACCTTTATGCCTTCGAATTCACTCTCCTCTTGGCTCTTAGTAAGATCTTCCCATATTTTGGAAAACTTGAGCTTCTCTACAAATGATTTTACTTAAATATGCAGGCTGACCAAGTTAGTTTTTACTTAAAGATCATAGTTTGAAGACTCTTTTTGATTTTCTATCATCTTTGTTTATTCAAAATAGTGATATTTATTTCGGTTGAGTCTTGAATGGGAAGTTTGTGTTTCCCATATTCATAGAGAGAGCTCAGGTTGCCCCTCAAAAAAAAAAAAATATATTCATAGAGAGAAAATCATTAATGATTTCTTAGCTAGTAGAGATCATAGGTTCCGTTTTAGTACAAATCTTAACATATATTATAGCCGTTGTGGAGAACGTTTTGCCACGTAGGACAAAGAAAGCTCCACAATTTTCCATGTCATTTAAGATTTTAAGTTATTAATTACATTAAAATAAAATTAAATAAACATTTGTATCAATCATCGTGACCAAGATTTGAACCTATGACCTCAAAGCTCAAACTATCATCATTTCAAGTGTTCAATCAGTAGGATAAAGTATATTTGATGCTATTGATCACAACAAAACATGTATATCAATCACCATAACTAAGATTTAATCATGCAACCTAGGAGCTCAAACTATAATCATTTCAGGTGTTTAACCAATAGAAAAAATATCTTCTATGGAATTAATCACAACAAGATTAATACTCATTTTATAAAAAAAATATACAACACAATAAAAGCTATCACGCTTAAAATTTTGTATTATATTTTTACAAAATGATAGAAATCATTAACAACTAAAAACAACCTATTTTAATTTTTAGTTTATAATATGTTTGATAATATTTATAATCTTTGAAACATAATTAAAAAATCCAAAAATCATGAATTTATTTGGTACCCAATTATTAACTTTTACATAATTTGACATATGATTTTTTAAAAATGAAAAACTAAAAAACAAAGAATAACCTTCTTTCGTATTCTAACACGAAATATTTAACATTTTTTGTACGAACTACTATAAATATGTTAACCAATACAATTCTGTTGCATATTTGTTAGAAAATAGCTACTATAAATATATGAGCTAATACACTCTTATCTCGCTGTACTAGAAAAATAACATTTTTTGTGTGATTAATAGATTATTAAGAGATAATTGTTGAAGTAAAAATGATTGTTTGCTAAGTCAAATCCAGAGTCATAATAACTTATTCATGTGAGATATTCCTATATTTTAAGATTAATTAAATATATCAACATAATTCAATTTAGTGATACACAACAATTTCATGTGTTTAAGAATATCACCACACACCAATGGTCATCATATTTTTTGTATCTTTATGAAACCGAATTATGGTTATATGATATGTCCATTCTCAATTGATAAGAAGTTACAAGAAAAATAATGGACATATACATATGTATTTGTCATCTTTAGGAAATGAATTTTACGTTTCTCGCATATTAAATGATATCATTATTATCTTTTCTTTTATGCGATTCCAATTTCATTCTATTTTCAAATTTTCGTACATCATTGAATTTTCTTCCATGCACAATTATAAAACACATTGTCTTTACTTTTTTCTGATGTAATTATAATTTTTTCTTTTTATTGTTTGACATTAATTCTTTTAGTTTTCCTAGAGTGTAGATTTGCAACTGAGTCATCTTCCGATGCATAACATCTTAATTAAAAAAGATTATAAACGAATCTTAATATATATAATGGTTGAGATGTAAATAACTATTTTAATTCTTACTTAATGTGACACGCTAATACATATATTACTATTCTATTTTTAGTAACCATTTATACTCGCCGGATAACCCGACTCATAAGATAATGATATAATTCTTCTCTGTTACCTTTAATAGTACAACTCGAAAGGACTTATTGTCCCTTCCAGTGACCATGGCAAAATATGGAGTATTCAGTTTCCCGTCACCCACCTATCGGCCTTTACTCGCTTAACTTAACTGTCAAGATACATCTGATATGTTATATCTCTATCAGTCAAATAAACATCCATTCATCACCACATGCCATACCACATTCATCATCTCAAACTCAAATAATTCATACATCAACAACATAGGACCATCACCAAGCCTCTTGATAACTCATTGTATAAACATGTATGCATCAAGTATCACATCATATCGGCATTACCATTTAACCCCGTCCCAACATAGCGAAACATCACACCATCTAATGGTAGATCATTGTCTAAAACACCATAGAAAACCATCACTTAACCATCATCATCGACATGCACATTTCATATATCACATCATAGGAAGTCATCACTAAACCACATCATAAGTAATCTTTACACAAGAATTCAATCACATGCATGGTTAGGTTGATTCAGTGCTTTTTACTTCTTAATTTTCCAAGTCATACACTCCCCGGATAGTACATTAGATGTAATGTACACCACTTTGGATCGTACCTAGACTGGTGTCCTGTAAATCCACTACGGGATCATACCCTGACCGATATCCTGTATAACAGTGCGGGACATACACGAACCGGTGTCCTGTAAAACTAACGCAGGATCATACCCTGACCAATGTCCTGTAAATTCATCTATTGTACTAATTGCACAACATGACGCCTTTATGTTTGTATTAAGTTATCACACATTTAATATTTTATGATAATGTGAAGCGAAGACAAAGTGTCTCTATAACTAACATTTTGATTTGATATCATTCATAAAATGTTGAAGGTAATATAGAAGCATAGCAAGTTTGGTTGTACTTTAATATAATGGTGGAAAAGACTAGCATACAATCGAGGTGTAATATACACCTTCGTTCACACCTATTAGTTGTTCTTTAATATATTTTGACAAATAATAATCCTTGGTTATTATTTTTGTTATAAATGAATCTTACGATTTGGATTGAGAATTATAGAATGAGGTTCGCCCAGAGACTATGGTATAGTATCATGTCCCAAACTCCGTTAATTAATGGTCTAAATAGCAAAACTCGATATGAGTACGGTAAGGTGGCGTACACTAGGTTACACCATGTACAACTTATGAAGTTGAAAATTGCAGGCTAATCAAAGATTAGATGGTATGAATACTATTTTCCAAGCAGTTTTGAAGTTACAACGTTGTTTGACATTATTGTTGATCATGATTAAAACCTTGATTAAATGTAGCGCCCCTCATATTTTTTTTATTCAAAGCACCCCTCATATATGAAGAAACAGGAATAATAAATAACAATAATAAATAAATATGAAAACTAGGAGTCCGATACCATTGAAAAATGACATATAATAATATAATAGAAGTAAAAGTACAAACAAATGTAACTCGCCGCCATCGGACGGGCACAAAACTAGTTCTTTTTATATGAACGACCTAAACCTTAAATAGTGGATTACTTTTGACGTAATAGCGAATGTCTTTCCACAAAATACAGTGGTGTTTTTATATCAACGAAAAAGCCTTTGCATGAGCAAAATCAAATCGACAAGAAAGAATATGGAATTCATCCGTCACTGCCCTGTCATTTTTGTTTATTCAAATATGATGAGTTATCATTTTATTTGTAATGTATTTTATTTAAATATGAATGTAGATAGTAAGAAATTAATTTGGAATATATTTGATACGGTTAGTTTATTTGAGGTTTTATGCTTTTTCATTTCTCTCCGAAATAAAATAAGCATATATTTAATACTGAATATAGTATGAGTAAAGTTAACAATTAATTTTTTTATGTTAAAAAAATCATGATTTGTTTCATACCACTAAAATCCCAGTGTTGTTAAAGTCGGACTGGATCGGCTGGTCCGACCGATAGAATCGCCACCCGCCACTAACTCTGTCCGGTCAGGCTATTTAACCGTCACGGTCCAATCATCCAATTTATAAGCGAATCGACCAGTTGAACCGGACTAGCCATTCGAACCGTTTTTGACGGTCGGAATCCTATTTGACCAAATTCAAAAATTTGCACAAATATAAGAGAGCTGGGATTTGAACCCAACACCTTTTGGTGACAACTCAAACCATCTACCAATAGGGCTAGCACAATTTTAGTGAGACGAAAGCTAATATATTTTTTTATCAATCATAACACAGTGTTTAATTTTGAAAAATCACAACTTCTATGCTTAAATAATTTATATTTATTTAAAATGACAATATTTACTTGCCATATATAATTTTCTGTTAGGAATATATTAGAATCAATATATAATTATAGTACTATTAATGGTTTCTACTTATAATAATTTTATTTATTAGACACCGGTTCGTTAACGGGTTTATCACAGCTTAGTACCGGTTAAACTAATAAAGTGCGAACCACTTATATATCGGTTCATATCCCGATTCGGTTCTGACAACATTAAAAATCCACTAATTTCCGACCTGAAAGTTTTTCGGTCGGACCGTCCTTCTTTACAAACCTTTGGATTTTACACCGAACAGGCGAATATGTTGATTTACTCCACACCGTCGCCGTAGTCATCTGCCGTTCTTCCGACTGAGCCTCTTCCCAGATTAATTTCACCATAATTCTGATCCTCTCCAGCGATCAATCAGCAGATCCTCTCCCACAACTGCAAATCCGTTGCCTTCAAGCTTTGACTGAAGTTCGCCCCGTTTACGGAACGCCTCATCGCCGTCTCTGTATCCAGAAAAAAAAAAAAAGAAACAAGTTGTAAGATTTTTACTCTTCATTGCTGCAGAATCTTGAAGGGTTGGCGGCTTGGCGCGGTCGAGGTTTCTTGAATTTCTAGTTAATTTCCAAGTTCTGTTCTGTAACAATAGGAAGAAGAATTTGTCACCCGAAGAACGATAATCCTCGAGGGCGCTTACAGTTCTGAACAATGGCGAAAGTATCTCAGATTCCTAACCTAGACAATTCACCACTGAATCTACGATCCCTGAGGTATCATTTTTTTTTTGCGTTTGCTCACACACCTTTTTTGGTCAATTGCCCTGACAGTTATGAAACTGGATTCTCAGGGAGCAGTCTCAGAGAGAGCTCGTCAACATTCTCAAGAATGTACATTTTCGTTCTTCCCTCCCTTCGACCCTTCGGCAATTCTGATTTCCCCGTTTCTGCAAGGGAGGGATTTTGTTTAAGTGGCTAGGATGATCATGAAATTTGGCTATCAGTAGGTTATTTCGTTTGGTTTTGCTCATCATGCTCTTAACAACTGAAATTCGGTTTGGTTTTGGAATTGCAGGTTCGAGGAAAGAAGTGCTTGGTTATTGATCCCAAGCTAAGTGGGTCTCTTTCTTTGATCATCCAGACCTCAGTTCTAATGGTGAACTTCTCAACTTGTTTTTCTTTCATTCTTTTGGTCTTCTGATTAGCAGACACTCTGAATGGTGTACGTCTCTGGTGAAATTGTAAGAGATTGTGCTGAGTTTTGGATTGCAGGAGTACGGGGTTGAACTGAGGCATCTTTCAGCTGACCCACTGGAGACAGATATCTCCAAAATTGTATACCTTGTCCGCTCTCAGTTCGAGTTGATGAAATTTATCTCTTCACAAGTGCATAATGACATATCTAAAGGACTGCAGAGGGAGTACCATGTCTATTTTGTCCCTCGACGAGAAGTTGTTTGTGAGAAAGTATGTTTTTCTTGTTGTTCATTTGTTGCACCTCATGAACGTTAGTTAGCTGTCAAATATTTCATGCTTCTGGAGGTTAGTCAATAAACTTTTTTGTGCATTTAGGTGCTCGAGGAGGAAAAAGTTCATCACCTGATGACCATAGGGGAATACCCATTATACATGGTTCCATTCGACGAGGACGTGATATCGTTCGAACTTGATTGTGTTAACAAAGTATGAAATATTTGCCATTTGTATCTTACGTTACATGATACAGTTAATTTATTTTCGCATCCATTCATTCTCATCTTTATAGTGTTCCTTTCCCTGCCTAAATAGGAGTTCCAAGTTGATGGTGACACAAGCTCACTTTGGCATATAGCAAAAGCTATTCACAAGCTTGAGGTTCGTATGAGTATTGGTTTTACGACTAAACAGAGTTAGCTACATAAGACATTTCAGGAACTATGGGTTGTGCATTTAATTTCACTGTTTATGATTGGGAATTTGTGTCTTACAGTCCTTTTCTGGGTTGATACCCAATGTCCGGGCCAAAGGCAGATGCTCTGTACGCGTTGCTGACATCCTCACTCGCATGCAGACGGAAGAACCTGTCAACTCGCATGATGTATGGCAGTTACATTATGTAGTCCTTGGTGCTAACTTGAATTCCGCGTCAGTAATCAAAATGCAATGTATCTCTAATATATGTTTGTTTCTTCAGATGGGTATTCCAGAAATAAACACAGTCATCCTTCTAGATAGAGAGGTAAATTCCCTCACCTGCTACTGCTTCTGTTAGAAGCACTGTCCGCCTTGTTGGTCTTGGTATGTGCAGTGTAGAAATATGAGATGAATAATCCCTTCTACTTTCTGTTGCTGTACTAAAAGACAGTTCCTGTTCCTGAGGCTGCAACCCATTAACTTTTGTGCAGAATCTGCTTCCCAGAGTAGCATATTTCCTTGGAAAATGATTTTCTCTAGGCTCTTCAGGGAACAGAACTGCGATGACAACTTTTACTTTGTTAATAATGTAGGTTTAGTTCCGTTTCTGAATTGAGTGACGTTGTATGTATAGCTGGTTAGCTAGTTTCTTGTTTGTCTAATGTTGACGAGAGTGACTAGACATTCATGATTTTCTGGCTGCAGGTGGACATGGTCACACCTATGTGTTCCCAGCTAACATACGAAGGATTGATAGATGAGGTAACATGAGACATAATATATATTTTCACACAAAAATGTCTTTACCTAATTGGATGTTTGAAAGGAACCCAAATTTGGACTTTGTAGGTTTATATAAAGTTCTGAATGAAAAGTGCCCTAGTTACTAGTTCCCTCCGTTGACTGTGGGTTGATTTTAGGATTGTTGAGCCTCTCCAAGCATGCACTTCTAATACAAGCACTATTGGAGAATCTGAATGTGCCTATATTTTTCATACTTGTGCGGTATTTAGCGAATGCCATTCTCCCCCCTTTTTAATGAAAACAAGAATGTGATTTACAAGGGGACTAATTGAATTGCTTCTCTCCCAAAATGTGTAGTAACCTAGTTACTAGTTCTCTCCTTTGATTGTGGTTTGATTTTAGGGTTGTTAAGCATCTCCAAGCATGTCATTCTTTTGTTGTGAGTACTATTGTCTAATCTAAACATTCTTTTTTCAGGTATTTGTTGGGTATTGATTGAATTTCCTTTTTAATATATGTAAGAATGTGATTAGCAAGATATTGATTGAATTTGCTTACCTTGAAAATGTTACTGCATGCAGTTTTTCCATATAAATAATGGTTCTGTGGAGCTTGATGCATCTATTTTGGGTGCTCAACAACAAGAAGGAAAAAAGATGAAACATCCACTCAATTCAAGGTAAATTGAATTACTTAAGTCTCAAGTGATTATTTGCTTCTGAGCTGGAGTGTCAAATGTGTAGAGATCCATCTGTATGCTAGTCAAGGTAGAACCATCCTCCATACTCTGTTTAGTGTGTAGTGTGACACTCTCCTCGCACGATGCCTTTGGTGAATTCTTCCTCAGTTCCTCTCATAATTTATCATTGAACGTGGCTTGAATTTCAGTGACAAGTTGTTCAAAGAGACCCGTGATCTCAACTTTGAAGTCGTCGTCCAGGTTGATGTCTTCCTGGAGCTATTGTCTACTCACTTATTTCATGGTCTCAAGAGCTACTTTGCTATTAGAGCATTTGTCTATCAGCGTTATCATTTTGAACTGAATTTCATTTTCCTCCATTATGTAGAAGTTATGCCATATATAATTTCAGGTTCTCCGCCAAAAAGCAACCTCCATGAAGGAGGATTACGCAGAGATGACATCAACCGTGAGTGAAAAGTTCTTACAATTTGCTTCCTCATTTTTTTATAGTACTAGACAATAGCCGGCTTATGAATTTTGTGGTTGCTTCCATTTTGTTGTTGTTGATGAATACTCGTTCTGTTTTGCAAAAAAATTATGTTAGAAAGTCATGCTTACACATTACAGGATCATAGATATCATACACAGTTGTAAGCATTATAGAGCTGGGGTTTTCATGTATATTTTCCTCTTGGGTACGTTGAATATTCTACACTTGTTTATAATGGCGGTGATTTCATGTGCAGAACCAGTCAGTTTCCGAGTTGAAGGATTTTGTCAAGAAGCTCAACTCATTGCCAGAAATGACTGTAAGTCTAACCCCACCTTTCTATTTGTTGCTCTTCATACATGGATGGTTCGCCCGATAAACTCATAACAATTGCCGAATTTCTTCACTTGTCATTGATATTGCTTCAGAGGCACATAAATCTTGCCCAACATTTGACAACGTTCACATCTAAGCAATCTTTTCTTGCACGACTTAACATGGAACATACAATTGTTGAGGCGGAGAGTTATGACATGTAAGTCTGGAGGCTCTCTCCCTGTCTTGACCAGTAAGGTGCTTGACATCATTTTGCAATTACTTATTCAAGAAGATTTGAAGTCACAATTCTGTGCTCCTAGGTTGAAGCTTTTTCCATCTTTTGGTATTCCTGTCATGGAACATTGGAAAACATGAGTATTGAATCCTGCCATTCCTCCATGCAGATGCTTTGAGCACATAGAAGAACTTATCCATAAGCAGGAGCCTCTTATTAGTGTCCTCCGTCTCCTCATTCTGTTTTCTGTTACCAATTCGGGATTGCCCAAGAAACATTTTGATTATTTGAGGTGAGGATAAAATTATCTACACCTGCAAGCTTCCTTCCATTATCCTGTTCTTGCATTTCTAGCATCAATCCTTTGCATTCAATTGTTTACCTACTGTGGTGATGTTACAATATGTATCCATACCTATTACTTCTGGTTCAGGCGGGAGCTACTGCATAGCTATGGATTTGAACATATAGCAACATTGAACAATCTAGAGAAGGCTGGATTGCTTAGAAAGCAGGTTTTGTTTCATTTCCCATGAATGAGTTCAAATGTCTAATAACTAATTCGGTTAAGGAGATCTTGAACTGATTAGATCTATTCTCTTCATCTGAAACTTGCAGGAATCAAAGTCCAACTGGCTGACTATTAAGCGTGCTCTACAACTTGTAGTTGAAGATACTGACACGGCCAAGTATAGAACTTCTTAGCCATCTCCTCAGCTTCTAATTTTTTGCACTAACATAGTGTTGATATGCATATGCGGGTAATTTATGTTTTGCTTAACATAGCATGTGGAAGTAGATTTGCTCCATGAGAAAACAATGAAAGAAGAAACTTATGCCATGTAAATTTATCTTTACATCTGAGGAACGTGTCATGTGTGAAGCACTCTGGTCTTGTCTCTTTCTTTTCTCTCTGCCCCACATTTATACTGTGTTGTTTTTCCTTCATAACAGAGCTATTGTTTGCTCTTTGAAACAGCCCCAATGACATTTCATATGTCTTTTCTGGATATGCACCACTGAGCATTCGCCTAGTTCATCATGCCATTCGATCTGGATGGTGAGCTTAGTTCTCTATGTCCAACTTAGTCACTTTGAACTCTAAACTTGTGGGGTACTGTGCTGAATCTTTATAATTTATTCTCGTGATATTTAGACAATATACCTCATTAAGTGAGGTACTCAGTTGCACTTAGGCCTGACCTTGCATCAATAAATGGGCTGTCTACTATAACAAAGTTATTTAGAGAATTGCTAGTACTGGATTCAGATGATTGTTTTCTTTGTTTAGTAGACTTATGTGATGTCTTCGAGATCTTATAAGTTTCTCTCAAACAGGCGCCCCATGGAAGAAATCTTGAGACTGTTGCCTGGGCCTCATTCAGAGACAAAAAGGGTAAGTGATGTTATCTCCCTTCCTTCCTCCACATATCGATACGAAAGCATCAATGACGTTTGTGTTATTGCAGGGTGGATTTCCACACAGTGCATCATCTGAGTCAATGTCTGTAGCTGGTGGAAGGTATGTATGTGGAGACTGATCCTAGTGGTCTCTGGTATACCTGCATCAGGAACTATATAGAATAATAGAAACCTTAGGTTCCCTTAATGTTCTATGTATTTTTCGAAAAGAAAATGACTTGTCTCCCAGTCAGCATTAAAAATTGCGCTTCTGTGCTATTTTGGTAACCTATGTCTTCCATGTTTCAGAGTGGCTGACGGCAGACGATCCCTCGTACTCGTTGTCTTCATAGGAGGAGTCACATTTGCGGAAATTGCAGCTCTTCGATTTCTCAGTGCTCAGGTATGGTCTACTTTAAATCCGATCACTCTGAACGTGCGAATTCGAGAACATTGTCTGATCATGGCTGTTATTGGATGCATACCATGGAATGCAGGAAGGAATGGCTTATGACGTGATGGTTGCTACCACAAAGATGATCAGTGGCAATAGTTTGACTGAATCATATGTTGAGAAGCTGGGCTAGTTTTACTTGCTGCACAAAGAAACAGCTGACAGCAAACGAGCTCTCGCCTGGGTAGTTTTACTACGTCCTCTCGCCTGATCAGATATGGTCTTGTGTAAACCAAAAATCTACTTGATTCTTTGAGTCTTCGGCCTTGCGTGTCTCTTATAGAAGTGAGCTTGAGAATGCAAGTACCTGAGAGGAGTTGTTTGATTAGAGAAGACTGACGCGGGATATGTTTGGAGTTCACTTGTCAAGTTTTATGGTAGAGCTTTTCTACCTCTTAACTGAGAATCTCGATAGTTTCTGAAAAATACATGAACAATTCAGAATCTCCTCTGTTGCTGCTTATGATTTATGGCCCAAGGCACCACCGAGATCTAATCGCTGCTCCCCCAGTCCCGACGGGTCCTGCCAGCACCACATCTCGTGAATCCAAGTACTGGTACTAGGCTATCTTGCGAGAGGGTTGTACCAAAGGGATGAAAGCTAGATGTGACTGCCATTTGCTATTTCCGCGACTTGCTATACGAGCTGCTCGCCCTTATACGGCTTGGCTTTGCTATCACTCATTTGTAGTCGTCGCCCTTGAAGGTACTCTTTCTCCATTTCGGTAGATGCTAACACAGGCGATGAAATAGATAGATGCTAACAACAATTAAGGAAGCACAAGGCTTTGTTCGAATCATAACGAAACGTTAAGTTTAACCGAATCGGTATTGAAAGGCTGGAGTAGAAAGTCATGAACAGGAAGCAGTAACAAAATTTCATTATAAAACAGTAATCCTCCATGCGTACAGCAACAACAAAATTCTCTCCATAACTTATATTACATGACCTGTTCCATACAAACCGCATCCCCTTAAACAATACCATCAAACAAAAAGCCGCAGGAAAGGACTCACATTGACAGCTACATGGAAACCCTATACATAATTTGCTTTTCTTTTCCATCTGTCGAATACAACAACTACATCCACTATGGCGACATCACATATTATACAACTAAACAAAAGTGTAAGTTTACTTTGACTCTTTCTTCTGTATACCTGTATGTATCAATCACAATCCCACCACCCATTTTCCTCTCCTTTTTTACATTCTAATATTTGCAGCAGCTGATCATAATCCTCGCTGTCTTGCTGCAAAGCTTTATTTGAGGACCAGACCAAGTCTCAAATGATGCCGGCTTGATCTCTTCCAAATGGTATAAACAATTAGCCACCAAACTTAGCCCTCCAACTACTATACAGTGTATCAAAAAACCAGTTTGACATCCAACCAACGCGCTGCTTCATACGTGTAACTTCTTACAATCCGCCTATGCACCCCCACCTCTAGTACCCAACAACTTGATTGCACACACACTACATTCTCAGGAAACCGCCATGGTGACTACCACCCGACTTGCCCACTCCCATTCGGGTTGGGGTAGCCTGGGAGGTACGCGCCAAGACACAGCTTTTCACATAAACTGCAACTGTGTTCAGAATTTGTACCTGGATGATTAAAGAATCGGGCTTTTGACTAGGCTGCTGGCTCAACCCTCTGGAGAAGCTCCAGTATGCTCCCAGCCTTCCGTTTCGCCCTATCAGTGCCACTCTCTGCTAATTCTTTCAATGCCTCCTCTGCGGCCAACTCCTTGGCTGCCCTCAACTGCTGCAAGTCGCCACATGTGCATAAGGACCACATCACGGCCACTGCATTCTCCCTGTTGCGAGGAGATCCTGTTCTGATCACTTCCATCAGTGCCGGAATTGGATCCGCCAATCCGATTGCCACCTTTCCTTCCTGGTGGCTCGCGAGGATTGCGAGGATCGCCAGAGCTTCATCCACCATCCCGCAGCCAGCATCCTTTAACAGTCTCATTAATGGTGGCACGATCCCAGCCCGAACTGCTCTTGCTTTATTCCCTTGGTATATTGAGAGATTGAAAATGGCAGTGGCTGCATCTTTCTTGCCACGCGGCGATCCCTCGCATAACAAGTTGATCAGCGCTGGGATTGCGCCAGCTGCTCCTATCGCCACCTTGTTCTCGTCCACGACCGACAGACTGAAAAGGGTAGCTGCCGCATTTTCCCTCGCCTCCATGCTTCCATTCTTCAGAACATCCACAATGTCGGGTATGGCTCCCGCGTTGACGATTGTGCCCTTGTTCCCGTCGTTTATTGAGAGGTTAAGAAGCGCTGTGACAGCATGTTCTTGAGTGCGAGCATCAGGAGAGGAAAGTAATTCCACGAGAAGAGGAATGGTTCCTGCTTGGGCGATGCACACTCTGTTGTCAGCATTCCTTTTCGCAAGCAACCGAAGCTCTCCAGCAGCTGCTCTCTGCTGTTCTGGGTTGCCATTCGCCAGCTTTTCAAGCAATGCAGCAATGGTGGTTTGATCACAGTCCGAAACGGTGCTGCTCCCCAGTTTCCTGTTCTTAAAAGCAGCCTGATGCTTAGGAGGTAGCTCAACGCCATTGCTTTCGCACCACAAGGATATCAAACTCTTTAACACGTAGTTTGGTGTTAGTGCAGTGTGCAAGAGGGTTTGCTGGGTCTTTGGACATGTCTTGTGGCCAGCATCTAGCCATTTCTGAATGCAAGATCTTTCATATGTCTGAAAAAAGGAATCAAGACACAGGAGTGAATAACGGCTACTGACTTATTAGAATAATTTTTATCAAACACAATCCAGTTTAGACTTTGAAAGTATAGATTGGTCAAACCTGTCCGGTAGAGACAATAACGGGATCTTTCATTAGTTCAAGAGATATAGGGCAACGGAAGTCGTCTGGAATGACAGGAGACCTGTGCTTAAGGAATTCCTTGTCAGCCTTAGGAGCATCAGCATCTTCTGGGTTTTCAACTTGAACAAAGTCCTTCAACTTTCTGAAAATAGAAGAAATCTTCCCAAACAAGTCTTCCGGATCTCCCTCGCTTGAAATTATTAACTCATGGAACGCAATGGACTCCTTTTTAAGATCCTCGATTGTCTTGAGTTGAAGCTTTTCAGAAAGCCGCTTCAGTATTGCAGGGTCTGGATCTCTTTCTCTTTGTGCAACAGCTAAATCATGATCCAGTTGCACATCGGGAGAGTCTGGTTTTGCGGTTGCTCTTTGGAATTGAGCATGCACAAGCTGAATCTGGTATCATTACAAACAAAAGATCAAATCACGTTACAGGAGGAAGCTCCGGAATCAAAGATGGGTGCTATTATAAATGGAGTAATTAGTGAATGATATATTTCTCATAGTTTGAATTCAAGAATACCTGTTCCCAGACTTCCTCAGACAAATCAAGCTTGTTGTAAGGAATCTTTCCCAATGCTATTTCAATCTGTTCAGTAATCTGGTGGAACTCAGCTGCTATGTCCTCCTGATACAAGGCCTGTGACATAGAAAGACAATGTTTGTCTAAAATAATACCATGACATATATACTCTACAGGGAGAGATGGAGATGTGTATCACGATTGTTCGAAGAATAGTATTATACTGCTATGTATATGTAACCACTTTGTGAGTGGAAACGTCGGTAATTGCCTAGCATCACCCTTTGCTGCTGCCCATGAACATGCATTTCAGCAATAAACGTTTCCAACCCCTTAAACAAAATCTTAGCTCTGAACCTTGAAGGGGTGATCTAGTGGTAATGTGGGGATGATAAATGTCCACCACACCCTAGTTGGGATCAACAAGCATCTTGAAAAGACAATATCTTAGCGGTGGCACTTACTAGAAGGAAACTACAGGACCATTGATCATCATGAATTAACAAACAGGAGCTAGAGATCATTGTCCTCGATATAGATTATCAATCCATGATATTATGCATAATCAAAGAGTCATTCACCACTCAAAGAAGGTATCTCCTAATCCCCATTCCCCCTCTCTTCTTCCGATTACATAAATGTAAAACAAGAAGATCCCCATAACTCACTCGCATTTCCTTCAGAAAGAGGATTAGTTTGCCATTCCCTCCCATTCCATTTGGTTATGAACAGAAAGGAAAAGAAATTGACAGCCAAAACAGTTGAAGTCCTTAACGTTCAGTGCAAGAAATCACAAAAGAAAGAAAATTACCTGATAAACCTTGCTCCCTTCATTGACTGTCCTCAGATGCTCCAGAGCTGAATCCAGAGCAGTTCTCAACAAGTCAAACCCTATAACCGCTTCATCATTCAGCTCTTCGTTACCATCTTTCAATTCCTCAAACATGGGACTCAAGAGCTTGATCCTCCTCACCAAATTTCCATGCATTTTTTTGCAGGCATTTCTACACTCGGGCAACCCAGAGATGGTCTTCACAAGCTCCAAGAGTTGACTCACCAATCCCAAATTGTCATACACCGAACAATGACATCTCTGATAAATTGAGTTCAGTAATCCCTGTTCCTTAACTTCTTCAGACAAATCAAGCTTTTTGTAAGGAATCTTGCTCAATGCTTCTTCAATTTGTTCTGTTATTTGGAGGAATTCAGCTTCTATGTTGTCTCCATGTAAGGACTGCGACACAGAGAACATTGCTTTGCTTAATTATCATGAGACATAGACTGCTAAGGGACATGTTATCCAAACGCTCTCTCCACCAAGAGAAAAACCACAGCTAAAGCAAGCACATTGACAAAGCTAGAAATTACCAATCTCTATGAGATTGTGCATAATCCAGGAGTGATTCAAAGCCAAAACCGCCAACATTCAGGCTTCCTCAAATTGGTTGCCAAATGCAGTAGGCATAGCCTAAAATGTAAACTAAGAATCCCATTCACCCAAAAAAAAAAAAAAAAACCCAAAAAACCCATAATCATTCACCATAATTCACGGACCATCTCTCTGAAACAGGATTGGTGGACCTTTCTGTTATTTGCAAGACCCAGTCAAATGGCAATTCCTCGTCAACGCCCCCAAAAACACAAAAAATTGACTGTGGAAACAGCTAAAGACCCTCACATTCAGTTCTGAAACCACAAAGGAACACAATACCTGATGAACCTTGCTGCTTGCGTTGACCGTCCTCAGATGCTTCAGAGCTGATTCCAGAGCAATTCTCAACAGCTCAAACCCTCCAGCGGCTTCTTCGCTCAGCTCTTCATCGACATCTTTCAATTCCTCAAACATGGGTCGCAAGAGTTCAATTCGTCTCACCAAGTTGACGTGCATCTTGTTGCACACATTCCCACACTCGGACAGCCCAGAAATCTCATTCACTAACTCTGAGAGTCGGCTCACCAACCCCAAGCTGCCGTCCATGTGGTTAATTAAGAACCCAGGAGCTGAGGGTCTGTAAATCAAACCCAAAAAAGGCGGCGACTTTAAGCAAAACGATGGAGACCCAGATGAAGAAATCGGTGGAATTTCACTGGGCTAGCTCGTCGCCAAATTGTGCTCTATAAGAGAACTTTGAAATGGAAGGAAGGAAGGAAGAAGAAGAAATGAATGTCGTTTGTGCTGACAAATGAAGGGAGAGAGAGTTCGGTGAGCATTCTTAATGGGAAGAAATGAAGAATAATCTAACCGCGGAAATATACTAGTTGGGAATTCATGAAAGTGGAAAGGGACGAAATTATGACAAAGGAAATGATGGGTCTTTTTTTCTTTCTTTTTTTTTCTTCCTTTCTTTTCATTATCTATTTTCAGCATAGTGTTTGTATCAATTAATTATTTCCCCTGTTTGGATAGTGGGAAAATGGCAGGAAAAGGGACGATTAGAATGAGGTCATGTGTGACCGAAACAATTATAGGGATTTCTTTACTTCTTAAAAAAAAAAAAATCAAATTAATGATGTCCTCTCCGGAAAATAATATGAATCGCCATTCGCCAGGGAGATAAATACAAATTCGACTCTTCAATTTTGGTCAATTCGATCAAACCGAATTCCTATTACAAGGACAAAATATTCTGTAAATATATAAGCTCATTAAAAAAAGGTTGAGCTTATAAAAATTTGAAACAATTTCATTCATCACATTGTAAATAAAGAATAAAAGAGACATCGTGCTCAAAATTTATCGACCAATCGTTCATTATATATTGATAAACCTATTTAGATCGACAAGCAATATTTTTTTTTCCGGATAAATGTAGCAACAAAGGTTAAATGAATATAGGTGCAATAGCTAACCAACATAAACAATTTGGTTAGTGGTTAACCCGATCAACCATGTTCTGTGTGGATGGCACGTGGCAAGAGAGGTAGATATTGGAAGAAGAAGAAGAAGGAGATTAAACTTTAAAGGAAAAAGGTGAACAAATTGGAAGTGTCGCCGACCATTAACGTCTGCTCCGATCAGCAGCAAAAGGGCCTAAAAAAACCCAGTAACCCGTTGTTTATATATTACTCTTACAAATCCACGGGTGAAAGGAGTGCAAAGAGAAGAGACAGCACCTCCGCCTGGTCTTCTATTCTCTTCATCAGATTCTTCATCCGACTCCCGAGTCCAAAACCCTATCGCTTCTCGCTCGTTGGGTTTGGTTTCAGATTGCTTGCAGTACACGCGTGGATTTCCTCTGCACATCGCCCATGGGTTGTGCATCTTCTCTACCAGGTAAAGTTGGAAACTTTAGGAGGAAATTCCCGTCAAACGTTGAGGAAAACCCGAATGCGTTTTTTCGTCTTTGGGGGGGATTGGGGAATGGGTCTGCGATTGCGGATTGGTTAGGTTCGTAATTCACACGCTGGTGGTTAGTTCGACTCGGGGATTGGGGTAGGAAAAGAATAACGGGTATTGTAGGGTTTGTGATTGTGTGCGGAGTCAGGAGTGATTTAGCTGAGCTGATCGATTACTCTGGTACACAGTCAATTTGTTAGCGCCTGCTAAGTGTCTGCGTCAGTGTGGATATCTACACTTTTAAGCGTCAGATTTTGATTCGCACAGTTCCAGAGCGTACTGTGAGGCGCTGCTGACTTATCTAATTCGTTTTCTTATTGGTTTGTGCTTCTTGGATGCTTGGGGTAACATTTCCAGACCGGAGTTCTGGGCAGTTGGGTGTACTTAATCCGGACAGCAACGGGTCAACTGATTCAAAGAGCCTTCGTGTAAAGGTACTAGATTGCCAATGGGTCACAGAGTAAAATGATATTCGCGATTGCATTAAATGTAATATTGAAGTGGTCTAGGTTTTTCTTGGTTCTTAAGTATTATGCAAACTGATTTGGCTTTAAGCAGCTATGGCTGCGAGCTGAATGTTAAAATTTGTGAGCTACATACCCTGACTTAATGCAAATGACGAGAAGCTGAATGATAAGCTAGTCTCAGAAGTTTCCCTAGTGGTTTTCATCGTTATCTTTCTAGTGCAGTATTTGTGGTCCATCTAATGCTAAAAGAACAAACCAAGCAAATTGAAATCGTGTTGTCTTGTTCAGCCATAATTCTGACTTTTCATTTCCATCCCATGAACAGCTCGTTTTGTTAGGTGATTCTGGTGTTGGTAAAAGTTGCATTGTCCTTCGCTTTGTCAGGGGTCAATTTGATCCAACATCTAAAGTAAGTGACCTGGTGATGTTCAGTGCTTTTTTATGATCCAGATCCCATCGTGTGCAATGATTTTGCATATAGTTTTGTCATATCCATACTGATTAGAAGCATGAATGTGAAGGTATACTATTTGAGAGCCATTGAGTCAAGTTAATTGTGTTTATTGCATGTTTGATTCTTATCCCCAGGTAACTATTGGAGCCTCATTTCTCTCACAAACAATAGCGCTACAGGATTCCACGTCAGTGAAGTTTGAAATATGGGATACTGCAGGACAAGAGAGGTAACTCCATTTGCTCCCCCTCCCTTTTCAACATCCTGTTTAATTGGAGAGGTAATGTGTTATAAATTTATTTTGTGATGATATCAGGTATGCTGCATTGGCCCCGCTCTACTACCGGGGTGCTGCAGTTGCTGTTATTGTCTACGATATAACCAGCCCAGAGTCCTTCAATAAAGCACAGTATTGGGTCAAGGTATCTTTGTTGGGCTTTGGTTCTCTTTCCCTATCAACCATGCTCTTACTTCCTGCAACTTTTTAGGGATAATTCATACGTATGCTTCAGAAAAAGATAATTTATACCTAAGGCCTCTCACTCAGCTAGTTTAGGATAACAAATATGATGCTGTGGGATCATGGTAGAACTGCCAAGATTCTTTAAGTGAATCATGGGAGAACACCTGGGTACCAGATTGGTGTAAAGTTATCTTTTAGTGAAAGATAATATTATATTTGTGTGAACTTTTAACTGATAATTTCATGCAAGTTTTATCAAGGTTAGGATTGGGAAGTATGACCATGATAGAAAGTTCTCTCCATAATTTCTGATGGTTCATGGGTTCAGTCTGTTCATTATACTGTTCTGTATGATCATTTAGTTGAAAGGCTTTCGTGCAGTTGGTACTGGTAAAACTACTCTTTCATGCAGGGAGATAGAATCATGGTTAGGTGCTGCAATCGAAAAGAGGGGACAGTTTTTTTTTTTTTTGGTTGGGGGGGGGGGGGGGGGGGTTGGGTTTTGAGAAGCACTTGATATGATAACGAACATCAAAAGGAGAATTATGTTTTATGCTTGCCTTTGAGAAAATGTCATAATCTGTTCGTGATTTTATTCATTGTAGCATTTATATGGCAACTTATGTGCTGGCTGTCTTTGATTCTGTCTCAGGAACTTCAGAAACATGGGAGTCCTGATATAGTGTTGGCTTTAGTTGGTAACAAGGCCGATCTTCATGAGAGCAGAGAAGTGCCTACTCAAGTAAGCCCAGCAAGCAATTCTTGATTTATCAGCCATTTTTTAGACCCACGTCTTTCTGTTCTAACATATTTGCATTTGGAAGGATGGCGTGGAATATGCTGAGAAGAATGGAATGTTTTTCATCGAGACTTCTGCAAAGACAGCTGACAATATCGGTCATCTTTTTCAGGTGATCCTGACTGATACTTCTCACCCATTACATTTCTTCACATTTAGCCCTTATTCCTTGTTTTAAAAACTAGAAAAACACTCAAGCAATTGTGACCAAAAGGAGACCAGTAGCAGAGAAATAGTTTAGTTGCTACTTCTGGACTCTGGTGGAGAAATAAACCTGACTAGATTGCTAATTGCCATTTGAAAGCTTTTACGTCTCACTATTGAGCTCATTACTGATTGCTGGGATACTTGAAAGAATGCTACACTTACACCCTTGACCTTGTTGATTTAAGAACACTGGCTCATTCGCAAGTCCTGTTCGCGAGTATAGGAAGCAAATATACCCGGTTGAAGTTTCTCTAAGTTTTCCCCTCTGCGACGAGCATGCCGTGGTGATAGTGAACACTAGGCATGTGTCTGTTGTTGTATTTTAAGTTTACTGGGATCTTCCATCAGCACTTCATTGAAGGATTTGTCTTGTCTGAACTAGAGTTCTTCCTGTATCTTCTCCATAACAGCCCTGGAAAAAAACTTTGCTCAAATGTCCATCTATCCATTGTATAGTAACAGATAAGTGTTGCTGGCAATCTTTTTTCGATGTCATTGAAGCCAAATCCTTTCTGGCACATACTGTGACGTAGCTGCAGTGAGTTGATGCAAATCAAATGCTGACGCTATTGATGCTTTGGATGTATTTTTTGAGCTATATGCTGACAGAGTGAGTTTCTTCATCCTGCAGGAAATCGGCAAACGGCTCCCTCGCCAGCAGCCAGAACAGCCCTCGTCATGATCTTCCAGGTTCTTGAAACAAAAAGAAAATGTATTATGCAACTGACATTTGGTATGGAACAGAACACTTCTTGTATCAAGTTTGTACATAGTCATCGCGACTCTGCTGGCTCCAAACTCCCTGATCTATTGTCTGTCTGCGATGCTGTTGTGAACATGATTGGAATACCTGCCTGTCTTGATTGTTTTATTGAAGGACTTGCCAGTTGGTTTGAAATATCCATACCATTTTTACCAAAAAAAGGAATATCCATACAGTTCTTCCCAACTGCGACCCAATCGCCTAGGCTGTTGGTTTGACACAAGCATAGTTATGTGAATTTTGTCAGAGTTCAGTTTTGTGTTCTAATGCTTCAGGTAGGACTGGATACTGGTTCGGTTTCGGTTACCATATCGAATTGAGATGGTACCCGAACCTGAGTTGGTGCTATTTCAGTTAAGAGGAACTACGACATAAACGATCGTTCTACAGGCACAAATCATATATTCCGTACTTCATAGTCATTGACATCAGTTAGATGCGTGTGTATCGAATCATAATATGGAAATGGCAGAAGTAGCAGACCGATAGACGTTTAATTATTTGGGGTTTATGTTGGTTTGAATTATTCAGTTCGGGTTTATTTTGGTTATTGGGAATACTTTGGGGGGATTAATAAGTTGGGGTAGTTAGTAGGTAATTGTGTTTTGGGTATTTAGACTATTGTTTTACGTAGGGAAAGGCAAGCAAAGATTAAATCTAAAAACTAATATATATCTCTCTCTCTTGGCCGCCGAGCCTCTCCCCTCTCCCTACCAAGCTGCCGATCGGCAGCCTCTTCCCCCTCCCTTCTCCTTGCTTCAATTCCTCTCAAATCACCTTTCCCCAATCCCCATAATTCCCGGATCAATCCCTAGTTGATCCCTAATCCCCAATCTCTCGATAGAGGTTAATCCGGAGCTCTATCTATTGGTATCAGAGCCCGGTTCTTGGGTTCCTGAACAAACGAAGAACGACGAGTGCGATGGTGTCAACGAAATCAATGCAAGCAGCTGAGAAGGCCGCCAAGGCGGCGGCGCAGGAGCAAGCCGTGATCGCGGCCATGACGGGGCTGCCGTCGGCTGGTGAGGGCGGTCATGGGGTCCCCAATCCGCGGGACGGGGAGCTGGAAGACGAGACGGAGAAGTTGGAGGCGATTCGAGTCACCTTGGATCGCCTGGTGACTGCGTTCGAAACTGAGCGCGTGGAGAGGCTGGCTGTCAGGCGCGAGCAGGAGGAGGAGTCTCGGAGGGTTTGGAAGCGGTTCGATGAGGTGCAGGTGGCCTTGGAGGCGCTGCACGCCGCGCAAACAACCGCGAAGAAGAGCAGCGGCGGCGGCGGTGCAGGGGGCAGCAGCATGAGCGCGGCGGAAGGGCGCGGTGATGGTGGCCCGTGGTGATGGAGGCGGCTGAGGTGGTGGCCGCGGGAGGCGGGGGCAACCAGGCCGGCGCGAGCGAGCGGGCCACGGTCAGCTAGGGTGCTTCGGTGGGCCTGGGCTTCTACCGACACCAACGGCCCAGGTGTTGGCCGCTCGCAAGGGCAAGGCCAAGATGCCAGGGTACGACAATGGGGCCTAGCCGACTGGGCAGGGGCCACCTAGGCCAATGGGCCGGACTGATACAGTGGGCCCATATCACGAGCCCAGAGGGCTGGGGTGGCTGCACATGGATCCAGAGCGGATCGAGGATGAACTCAGCATGGTGGGCCAGAATGCACCGTGGGCCGACCCGGCTAGTGCCGAAGATTACTTTGGCCCGGACCCGACAGGGGGCCGTGCCGAGCGAGTTGGGCCGGGGCAGGAGGAGCGGTTTGGGCCGGGTGGAGTCGGACTAGGGCGAGGTGGAGGGTCGACCAGTCGAGTCGATCATGGGCCGATCGACCCAGGCTAAGTCGGGTCGGGGTGAATCAGGGCGAATCGGACCGGGTCACATGATACCAGGTGAACCCGAACCGGGCCGAACCAAAAGTGGACCAAACAGGTTCGAGTCGGGGCTGGTTAGATCGGTCAGTATGGACCCGAACATGTGGCAAGGGTCGTATGGAGCAGGGAATGTGACGGGTCCGGTTGGGCGAGGTGCCGCGGGCAGTTTTGGGCGGGGAAGAGGATCACCGCTCTACCAGAACCAGCCGGGTGGTGATTAGGGTTATGACAGGTATGGTTCATATCACCCTGCCTATGATGGAACTGATGGGATGGTCTTTAGAGCCAAGCCCCCGACCATTGAGTTCCCAAAATTCAACGGTCAGGAGGATGCCGGTTTGTGGTTGTATGCAGTAGAGAGGTGGTTCAGAAATCACCCCATACCGTATGAGAGGAAGGCGCATCTGACGTCCTTCTACTTAGAAGGAGAAGCTCTGCAGTGGTGGGAGTGGATGGAGAGATCCTACAGGGCGGTGGGAACCTTGATCACCTGGCGGATGTTCCAGGAGGAGCTGCGTTACCAGTTCGGTAAATCGGAGGGGTGGGCCCCGGAGCAGTTGGCCAAGCTGAAGCAGACCGGCTAAGTTGCGGATTACCGTGCGGTGTTCTTCAAACTGGGAAATCAATGCCATGGGGTCCCAGAGGAGACATTGGTGGGGCTGTGTATGGCAGGCCTGAAGCTGGAGATTGCTGCTGTTGTCCGGGTCTTTGAGCCGGATTCCTTGAAATCTGCTTTTCGTCTTGCAGGGTACAAGGAAGAGGAGCTTGCGAGTTGGAGGAGCACCATAGGCCGCTATCCGCGGGCCAGTGGCGCCGGGAGCAGTAGCGGGGTCGGCAGTGGAGGAGGAGGAGTGGCTGGAGCCACTGCTGGAGCTAGGGGGATCAACGGCGGCGCAGGCGCCAGTAGCTGCGGCGAAGGGTGGGGCGCGACCGCCACCCAAGGGATTTGTGTTATCCTCTGCGGAGATCGAGCAGAAGTGGCGGGAAGGGAAGTGATTTAATTGATGATGCTGGTCGGTCATAAGTGTGCACGTCCGGACTTGATGATGCTGGTCGGAAGGTGGGAGGACGAGGCAGAGGATGAGGCGAGAGAAGGGGAAGAAGCAGTGGAAGGCTATCAACCTTGAGGACAAGGTTGTTTTGAAGAGAGCGGGAATGATAGACGTTTTAATTATTTGGGGTTTATGTCGGTTTGAATTATTCAATTCGGGTTTATTTTGGTTATTGGGAATACTTTGGAGGGATTAATAAGTTGGGGTAGTTAGTAGGTAATTGTGTTTTGGGTATTTAGACTATTGTTTTACGTAGAGAAAGGCAAGCAAAGATTAAACCTAAAAACTAATATCTCTCTCTCTTGGCCGCTGAGCCTCTCCCCTCTCCCTACCAAGCTGAGTATCGGCAGCCTCTTCCCCCTCCCTTCTCCTTGCTTCAATTCCTCTCAAATCACCTTTCCCCAATCCCCATAATTTCCGGATCAATCCCTAGTTGATCCCTAATCCCCAATCTCTCGATAGAGCTCTCTTAATCCGGAGCTCTATCACAGACACTGCAATGAACCAAACCCTGGATTCAGTTTCCAGTAGAATCTCAGATTCTGAGAAGATTTTTTTTTTTTTTTTTCCAGTGTCTGGCTGACCTGCTTGTGAGCAAATCCTGCCCACCAAAGGAAACGGAAAGTTTCTAGCAGATCTTGCTAGTCAGTCACAGACTTGCAAATTGGGATCTCGTCGCCTCATAGATTTGGTTTCTTGCAGGCGTCATACGTGGCATTGACTGAAAAGGGCGTCCGACGTGGCCACCAGCGCCTGTTCCAGCAAAGACTTAAAATTGTTTTGACTTTTCTTTGCTCGTAGTATTTAGTAGCTACCCACTTCTTTCTCTGGTCAATGAATCACAGGCTTTCTTGCTTTCTTTCTTTCTTTCTTGAACCAGCAGCTTCTCCGTGGTCAATTTGTCCGCCCTGCTGGCAAGAAGCGAAGGCCGTATATCCATTTGCACATAATAATAATGAAGTGCACGAGGCTGGGCATCCTTAGCTTACTAACCTTTGTCAACGGAACTTCCTTTTCTTCCTTCCTGCAGCTTCTCCCAATGCACACACGGACACACCAAGTTGCCCCCCCCAAGCATTTAATCATAATAGCTGGTGGTGGCGTTAGGTGACGAGTTTACGTGGTTCATTAATACGATTTATTTTAGGCACATGAGAGACCGATTTTACTATATCGCTCTATATATATACCGCTATAGCTAACACCCAAACATCATCATATCAATATCCTTTCCATTCATATCGAAACCCATAAATTATATGGCGCCGTCTAACAATCTCTTCCTCGTCGCCACCAACAACGCCATGCTTCTCTCCTTCTTCGTCCTCGTGCTGAGCACCAACGTCCTCGTCGGGGCCGCGGGCAGGCCGTTGCTGGAGTCTCCGGCGGGCAACAAGTCCTCCGTGACTTACGCGGCGTTCAAGCCGCCGGCCGACGTGGGGCCGACGACGATGTTTCACGGTGGCAGGGAGGTCAACGACTGTCTGCCTAAAGGGTTTCATCGCAACTCGGCTCCAAGCCGCTACATCAACTTGGAGCCTCTAGGAACAAGTAGTAGTAGTACAATAATGTGCGAGACGGAGAAGCACTGATAACTCATACATACATGTATACGGTGACAGAAATTTGGGGTTTCTTTGAATGACATGATCACCGCACGACCATATCTTCTGTGTCTATAAATAAAGCATTTGTGACCTAAGATCTCTTTATGGCATGATCTCACGACCATGTATTCGTTCTCCTGGCATTATCATTCATTCTATCATCTTCCGGGCAGCTTGTGATAGGTTGGGTGTGGAGCCTTCGTTCGATGCTTTCCGTCTGCTATATACAATGCGCGGTTCGGACAACTGCTGGTCGTGCTTCTGGCGGGAGTATCGCGTGGGTTTTGTGTATGGCACGCCCAAGCTGGACTCCCCTTGGTTTAAAGAATACTTCTTTGCTCGTCCTACTGGGAAGTGGTTTGCTGGTGATGTAGAACCGCTGACTGGTTTGTGGTTGGCGATAAGGAAGATTGGAACGCTGACCTTGACTCTCAGCTCGCTCCTTTCAAAGACCTTCTCAAACGAATAATGTCAACCGTTCAATTTCAGCTTTCCCGTAAAGAAAAGAGAATAAATAAAGCTCAATCAACAATTAAGATTAGAGTGTACTAAGTTTATAAACTAAGTGATTCCTACCCTAATGCTCTGTTTTTTTTTTTATTATGGAAATTAAAGGGGGAGGGAAAGAGTTGGGGTTCCAATGCATGAATGTCTATACCCTTGCACACATCTACAACTATGACAAGTTGTTTGAATCGTATGGTGAGTATGGAGAAACTAGAAATTAATTTGGAGCTACGAGTGCATTTGAGAGGATTGAACGTTGAAATATAGGGACTCCGATATTTGACATTAATGAATTTGAATGACATAAATGTGGGCCTGGGGGATGATGAATGTATGAATGCCTATACCGCTACACATCGTGAAGGTACAAATGCATATAGCTTCGATGGTAGGTTTTTGTTTTCACTCTCAATCGTTCACCATCAGTCGAATGCTACATTGACTCTGCTATACGCTCGAACCGTCCGAGCTCCTGCAAGAGGATTAGCTCAAGGGAAAGCACTTGAAGTAACGGATGAGCGCCTTATCGCATAAGGACTAGACTTCTACGAAGTTGAATGACAGTAGAAATTTTAGTATAAAAAACCATTTATCAAGAGTTGTGACATGTGATGAGCATCAATAAGATGATTTGAACTAACCTTCCGTTGAAACTAAAATGGCCATAGATCGCGATTCTTCGTCTGATGTATTCATCATTGCATTCTTTTCTTTTTCAATTTGCCTATCTGCCTCTTCAAACGAAACCAAAAGAAAAGCTCTTACGAAAGATATATCCATCAATTCACTTGAGAAAATGGGTCAATGAGCAGAATCACAACATGTACAGAGAGTAGAGGTGGCAATTAGGATCCAAATCCATGAATCCAATCCAATCCATCCACCAAATTATCCACTTAATCCAATCCATTTGATCCAAATCCAATTGGATTGGTGGATTCATGGATCAATCCATGGATCCAAATAGCAAATTACGATTTGGTACCTATATTTTTAATAGTTTACATTTTGGTACCCAAAATTTATATTTTTATACGAAAAAAATCATTGGAAAATTACAGTTTGGTACCTAAAATTTTTCATTATAACATTTTAGTACCTAAACTTTTCAAAATTTACATTTTGGTCCAAGCCTTGGATGTCATTTGGATTCATGGATCAATCCACCAATCCATTGGATCCAATCCATGAATCCACCAATCCATTTGATCCATAGATCCACCAATCCACGAATCCGATCCAATTGCCACCTCTAACAGAGAGGATGAATGTGACTGATGAACGTTTCGCCAAAGCAGTAGAGAAAGGAAACAAGATTAAAGAAAGGAAATGGGATTATATATGTATGTTTAGCATTACCAGTAAGCTTTATCAAGCTAGACTTGTGTACGTGTATGTGTGATTAGTAGTATGTTTATGTATGCTTAAGTTTAGTTGCAATGTTGATGAATCAATAAAATAGTAACAAAAATATTAATTGGGTAAATTTTACAATCCACTTTTAATATTTTAATAATGAACAAAATTAGCAAGGAAGAACAAATTTTACCCACAATTCATAATTAATGGAAATAGTGTTAGTTTAATATATGATACGTTTGCTGATGGCTCACACAATATTAAATTGATTTTTGTAGAGAGAGATCCACTATTGGAGCTTGCTTGAGGGGCCTTCTCGCGTGTTGGCGATCTTACCTTACATTATTACATTGGCTTGGCACACCCCAACTTAAGAATGAAAATAGTATCAACATGCAATATATTTACTCTTACATTATATTATCACTTTTCAATCTGCTTTTCTTCTTATTTTCTCTCATAAAACAACATTTTCTCCTACAATTTTTCTCTCGCTCAAAATTTCTCTTCTCTCTAAAATTTCCTTCTTCTCCTCATTTTCCTTCCCTTTACGGGAACAAAGTGTAAATATTTTGTTTGACGTGCAAAGGTGCTTTATCAATCACAAAGATGTTTATGTCTTTTTCAGGTCGATGTGATCAGATCAATAAAATTTGACATGAACGGGGCGTTTCAGTATTTTGATCATTTTTACCTATTGAAGTTGTTGGAAGGTCCCCTATTAATAATTAATTTGCTCTGACTTTTAGTTGTTCATCAAACTATGTTAGACCTTGTTTAACTCATTAGGATAGTTTAGGTAGTATAGTGTACACTCATTATGATAGTTTAGGTAGTATAGCGCACACTTGTATAGGATTATGATGATAGGTTAAGTTAGTATAGGTACTAAGTAGTAATTAGTTTCGAGTAAGTTAGTGGTTAGTTATTTCCTGCCCTTTCTATATATCTCCTCTCTTAATCTCTTATGTATAAATGCCAAAAATATAGACCGAAGAAGAAGACGGTTCATTCTGAAGTTTCAGTAATCAAATCGACTTCTTCCTATCTTACTTGAGTAATCCAATAGTGTTTGTCGAAACTTTTCGTTGTTTTCAATGTGGTCTTGGATGTGTTTTCAACAAGGCTTAAAAGTATGCGTCAAATCCTTAACTCGACAAATATTATCAAAGTGGAAGCATCCCCGCCTTCCCAATGTTAGAGTTAATTGGGTTGCTCGTTTCCAAGCTTAATTCACTCTCCCGTATGAATGAGTTGTCGTTCTTGGTTTTGTTTACAACCAACTTACTTGATTCGATTCTACCGTACTTGAAGCAATAGATCTCTTAGATTTGAGCCTTTTCTTTGGATCAATTATGAAAGGAAGAACCCTCCACTTGTTTGGATCACGTTTAAAGGGATATTAAAGCCAATTTTGCATATCAAACGAATCATTAAAACCTAATCTCCAGCTTAAATCTGCTGTAAGAAAATGGACAGAATGATTATGAAGCAATTTGCCAAATGGCAGTTAGTTCGTCTCTAGGCAAAACTATCCCACTCAGAAATCCGCTGTACTGTAACAATGGACAGAAGGATTATGATCAATGAAGATGTTGACTGATAGGGACTGTAAGCTTATTATTCCTTTCCTGATCTAATTTTAAAAAAAATCCTTTTGTGGGTGATTTCATAGTTAATGTTCTGTTTACAAAAAAAGGGAACATTTTTAAAAACAAAAGGCTAGGAGATGAGAAAAGAGGAGGTAAAGTGGTACTAGGTTGCTGGCCATAAGCACGACAACTACACTAATTAAGCATAATTAGGACAACTGGATCCCCTAGTTAGATTCCTTGGTTGTCGGGGTTTAATCATAGTTTTAGTTTCCTTTTTTGTCGTGACTCTAAACTATCTTAGTTGCTGCAGCAACAGAAAAGAATATCACAATAAACCTTTTAAACCGCTCATATGTGTTATTATTATCCTTGTTGTTTTCTTGCTTAGTAGCTATATACTTTGATTAGATTTAGGTAGATACCCCTATGGATCAATATGCATGTGTAAAGAATAGGGTGTGCAACGATTTGGATCGGACAATATCAAAGCGAATATAATGCAGTTCGATGATTGATCTCATGAATTCTATAAACGGAGTAAAAATTGCCCGATTTGATATTATGATCGTACCAAGTTGGACCCAGTGGCGGATGTAAGGGGGCCGCCCCCGGGCCACGGCCCAACCCTCTGCTGGATCCAAAGCTATTATAGTACTTGTAAATTTTTTATTTTAGGTATACGTTTCTGTATTTGCCGGGGTTACGACCCAACCCTTTCCGCCTCTTTTCAAATGTGGTCATGCTCTTTCTGCCTCTTTCAAGTGTGGCCCAGTGCAGGTGCTCTATCTTTTTGTTGGATCTGCTGTTGGTTGGTGACTCACTCCTACTATCACTCTAGAAAATGGCCAAGTGTAACCACTTCCTAAAGCGTAGTATAGCGGGTTTGGGTTTCAATGTCAACCCGGGTCCTAGATGTGATGACTACTCAGTGAATTCGTATTATCTAGCAGTGAAACTTTAGTGAAGGCCTAGACTAACAAGCAAGCAAAGCAACTAAACGTTTGTATTCAGGTTAAGAGAGGTCACCCGGATATGGTTCCCCCTAGTCTGCAGTTAAGCCGGATTGTAATTACCAAGTTCAGTTTCTATGAAGATTATACTGCGGAAGGTTCTTAAACAGCCTGAAGTCTCGACTAAAGGTCTTCAGACCCTCTCAATCTGACTCTCTAGCGGGCGACTAACCTCCACCGGAGTCGACAGATTGAGGCCCTAAGAACAAAACCTCCACTACCGGAGTAAATCCGGTACAGAATAGTGAGTTGGCTCCTCGACTAAAGTCACCAACTCCCTACCTTCAATCAAGGATACTCTATTAACCTAGGCAGATATTCTCATTCTAGGTTAAAGCAGAAACAACAGGAATTTGATCAGGATTCAAGTCATTCAATCATAAAACCTCAATCGAATATAATCAATCACAGAATCAGTACTTGGGTTCATACAATCAATCTCAACATACAGAACTAGGGTTTCCCACACCCAGATGAATGTGAGAACTACTCCATGGAGAGAGAAGCAAAAGCA